CACAGCGAGTGGCTGCCACCCGCACGACCCAACCAGGGCCGGGGACAAACTGCAACTGAAGTACATGCCCTTAGCGGGAACCGAACCCAGGTCTCTCTGGACTGCAGGCCGACGCTCTAACCTCTGAGCCAAACCAGCCAGGGCAACATTTATTTATCTTGCATTCTTGTTTCCTGATGCTTCTTAAGGCTGTTTGCATTTGGCTGTGGTATAGGATATTATATCTCCTTACATCAGAAAGTATCCATGCTTGGTTCAAGCAGAGACCCTATTTGGGTTAATGTGTATCAGAGGGAGTGAGGGCCTTCCCAAAGGCCTCAAAGTATAGCAAATAATAAGAAAAAACTTGGCCAGGGTTGCAATGATAAATGTTATCACAGAGTCCAGTCTGCATGGGTAAGAATGTGTTTTGGAGCAATTGGCGAGATGTTGTCCAGCTTGGAAACAAGCCAGAAGAATGCCATTTGGTAAAATTTTGCTGTGCCTCTCTCTGCCAGGGACCAGGATGCAGAGATAATAGCTGGCATGTACTACATGCCAGGAACTGTTTTAAGTGCTTTCTAATGCAGCTGTTATTCTTGTCTTCATTTTACAGACAATGAAACTGAAGTATAGGCAACTTCGCCATGGTCACACAGTTGGTAAGTGGTAGCATTCAAACCCATGCAATCTGGTTCCAGAAGTTATGCTCTTAAACCCTATGTCTCAGAGATGAATAAAATCCAGTTCCTGCCTTCTGGGAGATATAGTTCAATGGGGGAGACAGAAAGGTAGCCTGATAGTTATAATACAGGCTGATAAATTCTGCCAGATGCTCTACATATGATCTGATTTAATCTTTCCAATGAGACTGTGTAAAGGACAAACACATGACCTCACCCCCTGGATTTTAAGGAAATGACAAGAACTAGCTGCTAACAGATAACCACTGCATTGTATAGATAAGCATTGCTTTGTGTACACTGAAACTGATTGTTCCCTCAGGCATAACAGCTAACTGCAAATATCTGCTTCTGTATGGGCTTGCTTGCTCGCATACCCTTAACCCAAATTCCTTAACAGGGGCTAAGACAACTATATAAGCAACCCACCCCCTGAGCTCGGGGCTGCTCTCTTCTCTGTGTAGGATGGGACAGTCACTGCGTGGCTAATAAAGCTCTCTTAATTTGAACCCAGTTCGGAGTCTGAGTCTGGTCTGTCTCGTTGGTCTACAACAACTGGAAAGAGTAGTACAGCCCTGGCTGGTTTGGCTCAGTGGTTAGAGTGTTGACCCATGGACCAAAGAGTCTCAGGTTCGATTCTGATCAAGGGCATGTACCTCAGTTGTGGTTCTTTCCGGGCCCTGGTCAGGGTCGTGTGGGAGGCAGCCAGTCAATGTGTCCCTCTCACATCAATGTTTCTCTCTCTCTCTCCCTCTTTCCCACCCTACCATTCTATCTGAGGATAATTAGAAAAATATCCTCTGGTGAGGATTTAAAAAGAAAGAGAGAGGGTAGTACAGATGAAGCATCTGAGGTGCAGAGAGGTTCAATGGTTTGCCTAAGGCCATGCAATTACCCATTTGTCCCAGCCAGACACTGTCCTAGGCACTGGGTGCATAGTAGTGAAAAATAAAAACAAATGAGAGACAATAAGCAATATTTATAATACATGAGTATCTTACACACTGTGTTAGAAGGTAAAATAAATGTGCACAAAAAGAAACTAAAGTCAGCCCTTTGTATCCATGGGTTCCACTTCCCAGGGTTGGAAATTCTCAGATGTTGAAGGTCCATGTTAATCATTGTTCTACATCATTTTACATAAAAGAATTGAGCATCTGAAGATTTTGGTATCCATGGGAGCCCTGCAACCAATCTCCAAAATCAAGTATCTTCTGTCACCACTCATTTCCCCTTTATCTTCTTTTACCTCTCCCTGAGACAGGCTAGTAAGCCAGGACAAGTGGAATAGGGAAACTGAGTCAGTTAAACAAGCGGTTAGTTTGCAGCCATCTTGTAAATCCCATCTTCCCTAAAACAAGGATACTTAATGATTTGCACTTCTCCTCCCTAACCACAGGGTAAATAGCTTAAATTACCCTACTCAGGGACAGATGGCAGGCAGAATTCCAATTAGTGCCTTTTGCCAAACACATCCAAGGACAGATGAAGTTAAGAAAATAAATCTCGCCCTGGCCGGTTTGGCTCAGCGGTCAGAGCGTCGGCCTGTAGACCAGAGAGTCCCAGGTTCGGTTCCCGCTAGGGGCATGTACCAAAAAATAAAATAAAGTTAACAATATTTAAAAGAAAAAAAAAAAAGAAAAGAAATCTCACTTTGGTACATCAGCATAAAGCTGATGAATGTTCTCTTGAGATCCTCCCCTAAATGCCCAGTCTTTTAACCCCTCAAAACAAAGGTCCCAGCACACTCTCCCTCCCAGGAGTACGCCCAGTGCCCCTCCTCCCTTCTTCCCCTATAGCCATGCACTTCCTAAATTCTAAGAGACCACAGGAGGCAGCAATGGGCAGGGCGGTGAGTCCTGGGGCACCCCCCCTGAGCTTGTCCCCAAGGCCCCCTTTTCTCTGACTTTTTAGTGAGCCAAAGCAGCCCAGCAGCCCAGCAGTCCAGCCTAGGCTCATTTCCCCACATGGTATCCTAGTACTCCTCCTCTTATCCTAGACCCTTTCTTTCCTTTAAAAAAATATGTGTTTGTTGATTTTAGAGAGAGGGGAAGGCAGAGAGAGATACAAACATCAATGTGAGAGAGAAATGTGATTGGTTACCTCCTGCATGCCTCCTGCCGGGTACCCAGCCTGCAACCCAGGCATTGAACCCAACAGGGACCTCAGTCCATAGGACAACACTCAATCCACTGAGCCACACCAGCCAGGCCCCTAGGCCCTTTCTTTTCTTGTAGGCTGTGAGAATGGCACCAGATGTTAGGCAAGTAGGGTCAGACCAGACCTGGGTTCAACAACCTCGGTACTTGAGTTCTGGCTAGGAAAGAATTCAGAGCCAAGACACAAACTATAAGAACATTTATTTGGAAAATCACAGGTAGAAGAAGTAATTTGTAGAAGAAACGGGTTTAGGAAACAAGTTATAGAGGTAAAGGAAGGGCCCTTGGAGCTTGGGAGTGAGGATGCGCCTGGGAGGAAGGGGAAGGGAAAGGATTGGGCATGCTCTCCCAGAGAGCATACTGGGTCCTCAGTCCTAAGGGTTTTTAGGGTGGGGATTTTAGGGGAAGTCCCAGGGGAAGATTTTAATAGAATATTCATCAGCTTTCCAGATGTGTCCTTTCAGGGTCAGGGTGTCCACTGATTGATTGTTCAGCACCAGTAGCAGGGGAGTCATTATTCTTATTCTTTTTTTTTAATTTTTAAAAATATTTTTTATTGATTTTTAGAGAGAGAGAAGGGAGAGATAGATAAATATATTGATCGGCTGCTACCTGGATGCCCCTTACTGGCCTATGCCCAGACTGAAAATCGAACCAGTGACCTCTCAGTTCATGGGTCGACGCTCAACCACTGAGCCATACAGCTAGGTAGGGAGTCATTATTCAATGCAGCTGATTGTGAGGTTGGCCAAGGCATTACAAGTTTGGTTTTGCTGTTTTTCTTGGCCTGTATTTCAGAAATACAACTGAGGCCTAGATGATATCTCTAGGGAGGAAAGGTCAGGGAGTCCAAACTGCATGATCAGTGATATGCTAGGGGAGGAAAGGTCACCCTGGGAATGAGGTCGCACCCTACAGTGGTCCTTTGCTAGGCATCCAGGGCTTTCTGCCTTGGTGACCTTCTGTACCTGGCCCATTGTCCTTGCTCTACTCATGTCTGTCTAACTGCGTACCAGTTTCACTGTTCCCAGCTTTAATAAATGTCCTTTAAAATTCACCTGGACTTGTACTGTGAACTTTTTCCTGTATGAAGTCAAGAACCCACACACTACGGCTGGCTCTAGGGCCAGGTCCCCTTTTCTGTAACATCCTCATTCCACTTTCCCTCTGGTAATTACCATACTGTTTGCCTCCGTGAGTTATTTTTATTCTTAACCCCTTCACTTTTTTCACTGAAATTACCTTTTAGACTGATCTTTCTGGTCATGGTGGAGAAAATAGACTTTAGGGGGACAAGAGTAGGAGCAGGTCAACCTGTTAACTGGGGTGAGACATGATTGTGACCTGGGCTAAGATGGTGTGTAGCACTGGAATAGTGAGAAATGGTTGGATTCACCGTGAAGGTAGACTTTATGGGGGTTGCTGATGAATTGGATTTGTGGTGTTTGAGAGAAGTTCAGAATAACACCAAGCTTTTTGGAATGGTGAAGTTGCCATTAACTGAGATGGGGTGATATAGAGAGGAGTTTAGGGGGTGAGGTGGGGAGATGTACCCTGGCACAAAGTTAAAGGGCTCCATAGGCATTGCAGACAAAGAAACTTTTCTTCCCCAGCACTTCCCTTATTGTGATTGTTTAAACGTGTGTTTTTAAACTTATCTTTATTGTTGAAAGTTATTACAGATGTCTCTCCTTTTCCCCCAGCATTGACACCCCCTCCCCGCTCCTACCCCCTACCTGCCTTCACCGCACTGTTGTCTGTGTCCATTGATTATGTATACATATAAATTATTATTATTTTTTTTCTTCCTGCACCCCGCCCCAACCCGTCCCTCTGAGGTTCGTCAGTCCGTTTTCCTGCTCTGGAACAGCTCCAGACACATAGCGGGCACTGATAAATATTTGCTCAATGAACACAACAAGTTCATTTCCTTTATTTTTAGCAAAGTAACAGGTAAAATAGTCTTTATTAGGGGAGAGCCGGGTCACGATCACCCCCCCCCCCCAAAAAAAAAGGGTACCATGGAGAAACTCCCCTGGGAAAGGTTTTCTGCGCACGCGCCACTCAGTGCATCTGCTGGGGGGGGGCCTCGGGGCTTGTGACACCGCCGGGGAGCCTTGTGACGCAGTTGCGGGCGGGGGTAGGGAGTGACTGCCCTGAGCCCAGCCCGCCCTCTTCCGCTGGGGCCTTGGGAATGGAAACATCTGACCCACGTGCCGGAAGCCAGATTGCGGCGACGGCGGCACGCCACTCCGTGTCCTACGGCGCCGAGCCTCCAAGTGTGTCATCGCGAGACCATCTGTCTGAAATGGCCGCGTCCACTCAAGGTAAGGACGGGCACGCGCGCCCCCGGCGCCCTGGAGAGTCGCCTTCTTGGGCTGCGGAAGGGGAAGGGCTCCACATCCCGGCAGAGATCCTAGGGAACCCAGGCGGCACAGGGGCGGGGAGGGCGTCCGGGGTTTGCCCCTGGCTCTGTCATTCCCAGGGTCCAGCCAAGGTCAGGCGCTGGGCTGAGGCCGATCGCCCCGGGGTGTTGCCGCCTATTGAGCTCACTTAGATTTCCGGCGCCGCCCCCAAAGCCTGAGACATTCTGTCCCTCCTCTCAGAAGCCTCTGGCACTTTGAGACCCAGGCGGCGGCTTTGTCCCTTTGGAAGCACATCTCAAACATCCGCCAAGTGTTTTTCTGTGTGTAAGGTTCCTCCTCTGGCGCTATTGATGGTTTTTAGAGTAGTACACTTGAGAGGGTACTTAGAAATAGTCTTTTATTTAGTCTGCGTAGTCAAAGGAAGATTCACAGTAATAGACTAGGAGTGCATCACGTCTTTAAATCATGCATCTTACCCTACTTATTTGAATGCTTCATGGTAATAGTCATTTCAGTAATTGCTTATAAGATCCAATTACTACCACATGATCTCACTTATTTGTGGAATATAATGAACAAAACAAACTGATGAACAAAATAGACCCAGAGAATAGTAGTAGGGTACAGACTGACAAACCTCAGAAGAGGGGGTGGGAGGGGGGTCGGGGAGATAAACCACAGAACTTATATGCATGTACACATAACCAATGGACATAGACAACGAAGCTGGGGAGGGGCGAGGGAGGATGGGGCGGAGGGTGTCATTGGGGAAAAAGGAGAAACATCTGTAACAAAAATAAATTAATAAAAATAATTTAAAAAAAGATCCAGTTAGGCCCTTGCTGGTTTGGCTCAGCAAGGTTAGAGTGTCGGCCTGTGGTCCAGAGATACCCGGGTTCGGTTCTGCTAAGGGCACGTGTCTTGGTTGCAGTTTGTCCCTGGCCCTGGTTGGGTCGTGTGGGTGACAACCACTCGATGTGTCCCTTTCACGTTGATGTTTCTCTCTCTCTCTTCCACTCTATCTGAACAAAATATTGAAACAAAGACAGTGAAAATACTCACAACTCATCACTTTATTTGCCATATTTTATTGTTATCTATGCTCTTAAGAGTGTTTACATTTATTGTGTTTATGTGATAGAAATAACAGTACAGAGCATTACTGTGCATCTCTTCCCAAACTGTGTTCAGTGATGTCACAATTCATTGATAATCACACTTACAGTGAGTGAACACACCAAGGAAATTGACATGCACTACAAATCAGCCTTCCCCCAAAACTGGTTGTTAAATATTTACCAATGTTATAATGTTATAGTATAGTAGGAAGCTAGGAAAATTCCAGAACTAATGGAATAGGGAAACTAAGACAGTTAAACAGCAGTTTGCAGCCACCTGGTAAATTCTATTTTCCCTAAACCAAGGACACTTAAGAGTAAATGGTTTACTCCTCCCCAAACCAGAGGGTAAATAAATTAAATTACTCTACTCAGGGAGATGGAGCAGAAATCCAATTAGTGCCATTTGCCAAATACACCCAAGTGCAGATGAAGTTAAGAAAATAAATCTCGTTTTGGTACATCAGCATAAAACTGATGAATATTCTCTTGAAATCCTTCCCTGAGACCTCCCCTAAATGCCCAGCCTTTAAAACCCCTGGAAACTAAGGTCCTAGTGCTCTCTCCCTCCAGGGAGCATTCCTGCCAGAGCCATTCCCCTCCCCCTCTCCTTTCCCCACAGGCACTTATCTCCAAAACTTCAAGGGACCCCCACTGGATTTGCAAACAGGGGAGCAGTGGGCAGCAGCTGGTCCCAGGCTAACTCCTTGAACCTGTATCCAAGGCCCCCTTTTCTCTGACTTCCCAGTGAGCCAAAGCAGCCCATCCTAGGCCCTCCTGTTGCTTCTTCTATGCCCTTTCTTGTTTCACTGTCCTAAGTGTGTTTTTGCTGTGGTCAATAAAATATTGCTTACTTTTCTACACTTTGTCTCTTGATTGAAATCTTTCCTTCAAGAAGAAAAGAACTGAGTTCTTTTCATCTCACAGGTAACACCAGCACACCACTGAATAAAGGTGACTAAGGGATTGGAATGCACAATGTAGGTATTTTCCTGCAGAGCAGACTGTTCTTATTCACTTAAAATGTGTAGGTTGATCAAGTATTTGCACCTAGGAAATTGTTGCCAGAAATTTTGAGGTTGATATCATGAATTTCTGTCTTTGTTATGATGATCTCATAACACTGAGATCATTAATTTCCCATAAGCAAGGTAAGTGACTTGTTTTTGTTTATACAGTACTTAGCTGTGTTTGGTGAATGACTGAATGAAGTTGTGTGAACTAAATGTCTCTAATTTGATCCCCTTTTGACTGGAGCCCCTTTTGAGCTAAGTAAGGCGCTTGGTAAAATTACATTAAGCAAAATTCAAAGCTCATTCTTGTTTTCAGTGATATTTAACCCAGGGAGAGAGTTTCTTTTTTAACATAGCAGTAATGTTTTGTTATATTAGAGACATTTTTTAAAATTTAACAACTTATGAGCCCATAGATGACCCAGTTCTTCAAACATCCATATTATGGTTATGCTTGATTGGGATCTGTAATCCATCTTGTATTCTTGAATTATATTTTGTGTATGATGTGTAAGGTAGGGATTGAGTTTTTTATTTTTATAGACACCTAATAGTTCTAACATTTTGTTGAAAATACTTTCTTTCCCCATTTGATTACCTTGGTGCCATGTTTTGAAAATCAAATTACTATGTATAGATCTACTCTGGACTCTGTATTTTCTTCCACTTATATATTTGTGTATCCTTATGGCATTTCTACACTGTGTCAAATATGGTAGCTTTGTAAGTCTTGAAATTCCTTGAACTTTGTTCTTTTTTCCCCAAAAATTGCTTTGGTCACTTATGGCACATTGTATTTTCCTACAATTCTGTGACTTTGATACTCCTTCCACTGAGTGATGGGGTCTATATTCCCTCTTGAATCTGAGTGGAAGTTTGTGACTGCTCCAACAGGATGCAGTGGAAGTAACACTACTTGGCTTCTGAGGCTAGGTCTTTTTTTTTAAATCCTCACCCAAGGATATTTTTCCATTTATCTTCAGATAGAGTGAGAGGGAGGGGGCGGGGAGAGAGAGAGAGATTAATGTGAGAGAGACACATTGATTGGTTACTTCCTGCATTACCCGGGCGGACACTCTAACTACTGAGCCAAACCGACCAGGGCTCTGAAGCCAGGTGTTAAATGGTAATATAGCTTCTGCCTACCACTTGGATTCCCTCACTCTCTCACTTTCTCCTTTGGGACAGGCACCCTTGAACCTAGACACCATGCTTTAAGGAAGTCCAAACTAACCCACATAGAGGGGCAGCCTGTATGTGTGACTATAGTAGATGATTCCAGACCCCTGCCTGTAAATCTTCCAGTTGAAGCCTTGGGCACTGTGAAACAGGCATGTGCTGTGATGCTGTATTCTGTCTGAATTCCTGAGCCACAGATTCTGAGAGCTTAATCAGTGATTGTTTTGCTCCATGAAATTTTGGGGGTAATTTGTTGTATAGCCTCAGTAACTGCAACAGTACTCTAGGCCCTTTGCTTCTCCATATACATTTTAGAAGCAGTTTGTCAATTTCTAGATAAAAAAAAAAACCCTGCTTTTTAATTTGGATTACATTGAGTCTATAGATCAATATGGAGAGAATCAACATCTTAAAAATAGTGAGTCTTGCAAAACATAGATATAGTGTATATTATATATCTCCATTAATTTAGGTCATTCTTCAGGTTCTCTCTACAGCATTTTGTTATTTACAGTGTAGAGGGCTTGGGCATCTTTCATTAAATTCATTCCTACATTATCTTCCCACAGAGAAAGGGATCAGACATTTTATTAATTCTGTTTCCCTTCTTGGGCAAATCATTTAACTTCTGAACTTCCATTTCTTATTATAAAATGGGATTAATAAATAGTACCTTGTTCTGTGGATTTAATTAGTATACGTGTTTATTGCTTAGCACATTGCCTGGTAACTTGTAAGAGCTCAATTAAACATTACCTCTTTTTTTATTTAATTAATTAATTTATTTTTGTTGCAGATGTTTCTCCTTTACCCCCCCTGATTCCCCCCTCCCCCTCCCTCCCCACCCTGTCCCCAGTTTTGCTGTCCATGTCCATTGTTCATGCATACATGCATATAAATTCTGTGGTTTACCCCTCCCCCAGTACCCCTTCTTCTGGGGATTATCAGTCTGTACCCCACTTCCACGACTCTGGGACTACCCCATTCCTCACATTACCTCTTATATTTATTATCACTGGAGATCCACATAATACTGATAATCTGTGAATTTGTAGGTTATTGAATAGTATTGAGTTACTCCTGAAAAGGAGAAGAAAATGAAGGAAACCCATTTCATTTAGGATGCATTATTAAGTATTACTATAAGTTTTTCCTGTGTCCTTTTGGTTGTATTTAAATTTGAGAAGAAAAGCTAGAGTACTGATTCTAAATTGTCTATGTTTTTTTTCCCTCTAAGACAGATATTATTTATTGATTTTAGTCTGATTTTCAAAAATTACCAGTCAGAATTTCAGGGTTAATTTACTATTTAAAATAGAATAATAGCTCTGGCCAGTTTTGCTCAGTGGTTAGCACTGGCCAGTGGACCGAGGGAATCTCGGGTTTAATTCCTGGTCAAGTATGCATACCTGGGTTTCAGGTTTGATCCCCGGTCCTGGTTCGGGTCATGCAGGAGGCAACCAATCGATGTGTCTTTCTCACATCCATGTTTCTCTTTCTCTCCCTCCCTCCCTCCCTTCCCCTTTATCAAAAAATCAATGGAAAGCCCTGGCCGGTTTTGCTCAGCGGTTAGAGGGTCCGCCTGCGGTCAGGAGAGGCGTGGATTCGGTTCCCGCTAAGGGCACGTACCTCCGTTGCAGTTTGTCCCCGGCCCTGGTTGGTCGTGCGGGTGGCAGCCACTCGATGTGTCCCTTTCACATCGATGTTTCCCTCTCTCTCTCTTCCTCTCTCTCCCTCCCACTCTGTCTGTACAAAAAATGGAAAAATGTCCTCGGATGAGGATTAAAAAAAAAAAAAAATCAATGGAAAAATATCCTCAGATGAAGATTAACAAAAATATATAAATAAAATAGAATAACATTTGGAGGTTCTTATTCTACCTGTCTCTTTTAAAATATCTTAATCTAGTTAGGAATGGTAGTAATTTGTTATAAAAGTATCTAATTTCTTATTTAGTATCTTAATTCTTGTAGGACATTTTGAGTCACTGGACCTTGCAGAATTTGCTAAGAAGCAGCCATGGTGGCGCAAGCTGTTCGGGCAGGAATCTGGGCCCTCAGCTGAAAAGTATAGCGTGGCAACCCAGCTGTTAATCGGAGGTGTCACTGGATGGTAAGTGATGTGAAAGATGTCCAGTGTCTTTTTTTTAACATGGTTTAGTATTGTGGTTATAGGAATCATCTCCTTTAACCAATAAAAGCATATTGACTTCTGTGAAATAGATCACTTAATGTGTAGTATTGTATTTAAATATCATGTTAAAGTGCTATTTAATGGTTACACATGGTATTTACTACATGCCAGGGACTGTTTAAAGTATTTATATATATACCCCATTTCCTTCTCACAACAGCTCTGAAATTGGTTATGTTATAATGTGTCCTCATTTCCCCCCAGTTTTTTGTTTGTTTGTTTGTTTGTTTTTTATCCTCACTCGAGGACATTTTTCCATTTTTTGTTCAGACAGAGTGGGAGAGAGAGAGAGGAAGAGACAGAGAGAAACATCGATGTGAAAGGGACACATCGAGTGGCTGCCACCCGCACGACCATCCAGGGCCGGGGACAAACTGCAACCGAAGTACATGCCCTTAGCGGGAACTGAACCCAGGTCTCTCTGGACCGCAGGCTGATGCTCTAACCGCTGAGCCAGACCAGCCAGGGCTCCCCCCAGTTTTATAGAGAAATAATTGATATACAAATATATCACTGTATAAGTTTAAGGCATACAGTTTGATGGTTTGATTTACCTATATTGTCAAATGATTACCACAATAGGTTTGATTAACATTCATCTTTTTAATATTCATCTATATTAACATTCATATAGACACAATAAAAAGAAAAGAAAAATATTCTATCTGTGATGAAAACCCTTTGGATTTGCTCTTTTAATAACTTGCCTATATATCAAACAGCAGTGTTAACTATAGTCATCATGTACATTACATCCCTGGTACTTAATTGTCTGAGACTAACTGCAAGTGTGTAGCTTTTGACTACCTTCCTCCAATTCCACCTTTCCCTGCTATCTCTTTTTCTAGGATTCCACATATAAATGAGATCATACAGTATTTGTCTTTCTTGGTTTGACTTATTTCACTTAGCATAATGCCCTAGGTCCATCCATGTGTTGCAAATGGTAAGATTTCCTCAAATTTTTAGGGTTGAATAATATATTTCATATAGATATAATGTCTATACATTTAATATTCAATACTTATATTTATATTTTTGTGTGTGTGTATGTATATGTGTGTGTGTGTGTATATGTGTGTGTGTGTGTGTGTGTGTGTGTGTGTGTATATATATATATATATATATATATATATATATATATAAACACAATTGTTTCTATGTACCTGACAGCCTGTCAGCTTGTCTGATGTTGGTTTGGTTTTTGTAGGTGCACAGGTTTCATATTCCAGAAGGTTGGAAAGTTGGCTGCAACAGCTGTGGGAGGAGGATTTTTTCTCCTTCAGGTCTGTATGTGAAATATTCCTAAATGTTTGGAAATTCCACTTGCCCATTAGGGATGTGGTATGAGGAGCTGTAATATAATCCTCACTATATTACACTAGAATATCCTTTGCACTTGTTTACATGTACAGTGGAACCTCAGTTCCTGAACTTAATTTATTCTGGAAGGCTGTTCAAGAAGGTATTTGTTAGAAAACTGAATAATTTTTCCCATTAGAAATAATGTAAATTGAAATTAATTCATTTGAGACCCTCAAATTATTCCGTTTTAACCTTTCTTATATATAGTATATGTCTAATGTACTGTTTAATCTATAAACAAACACTCCTTTTCTTAAATTTATCAACCACCCTCTACTAGCCTTTAACCACTTGCAGCACTCGTTCCAGGGCTGTCTTTCGGGAGGTCAGTATGTGGCATCTTTGCTTGCTGTCACTGGCTAACTGCTTTTCATTTGTCCAAATCAACAACAGTTTTTCTCCCTCTTCAATTGCCTTTGATCATTGTTTCTTTTACACCCTTAGCAACATTAGCACTCTTGATGCCTTTTTGTGTTTTAAAATTGTGCTAATTGTCCATTTTGCCAGCAACAAAAGGAAACACACACACACACCCACACACACAAATATTCGCAACACAATTTCCTGAGATGTTAGCAATAAACTGACTCATACTAGGTCATTCTCTTTGTTTGTGGCCTGAGAGATGCTTCTTGTCATGCTGTTGTATCAGCATGAAAGGATTGTCAGATTAATAAATGAAGCTTGTTCAACAACTGAGATACTTTTTTCTTTTTTTTTTTTTCGGTGAACAACTTGATGGAGAACTGAATTGTTTGAGATGGGAGACATTTGAGAACCAAGGTTTCACTGTACTATTTGAAATGCCAGTGACCTTTGAGTCAAACTTCATCAATTACTAGTTGCATTTTATTTTGTCATTTATAACATGGGAACATAAGTACATATTTCTTCTCATAGTTTCCTTACAGGGTCTTTAATGTCTTTGCATAGATTTTTATTGTGTTTTTTTTTCCATATAGATCTTGTATATCTGTGGTTTGATTTTATTCCTAGATACCTGATAGCGTTAGTTGCTCTTGTGGCTTTCCTTGGGCATTGGTCCTCAGTCCTAAGGCTATCTCCCATTTGATAGCATACACCTAATGATGTGGAACGTCTTTTCATCCTTTTTGCTTTTTGTAAAGTGCCTATTTAGGTCTTTACTCCATTTTTTAATTGGGTTGTCTGTTTTCTGTGCTTTTTATTCTGCCCCATTAATCTACGTGTCTGTCCCTTCTCCAATACCACACTGTTTTGATTGCTGTGATATTAAGTCAGTCTTTTTTTTTTTTTTATTATGAATTTTTATTTATTTTTTTGTTACAGATATTTTACCTTTTTACCCCATTGGCACCCCTCACCCCACCCCACCTCCGCCCTGTCCCCGGATTAGTTGTCCATGTCCATTGGTCATGCATACATGCATATAAGTTCTGTGGTTTATCTCTTCCCACCCCCCCAGCCCCCCATCCCCTCTTCTGAGGGATGTCAGTCTGTGCCCTACTTCCATGTGTCTGGGTCTACTGTATTCCTCAGACTGTTATGTTCATTATATTCCGTATATAAGTGAGATCATGTGGTATTTGTCTTTTTCTGCTTGGCTTCTTTCACTTAGGATAATACTTTCCAGGTCCCTCCATGTCGTCTCAAAGGATGAGAGATCTTTCTTTCTTACCGCTGCATAGTACTCCATTGTGTATATGTACCACAGCTTTTTTATCCATTCGTCTACTGGTGGACACTTGGGCTGTTTCCAGATCTTAGCTATTGTAAATAGTGCTGCTATGAACATGGGGGTACATATATTCTTCCTGATTGGTGTTTCAGGCTTCTTAGGGTATATTCCCAGCAGTGGGATCACTGGGTCAAATGGAATTAAAACAACAATGAGGTATCACCTCACACCTGTCAGAATGGCCGCCATCAACAAATCATCAAACAACAAGTGTTGGCGAGGGTGTGGAGAAAAGGGGACTCTAATACACTGCTGGTGGGAATGCAGACTGGTGCAGCCACTATGGAAAACAATATGGTGCTACCTCAAAAAATTAAAAATTGAACTTCCATTAAGTCAGTCTTAAAATCAGGTATAATGATTCCTCCAACTCTGTTCTTTATTTAAAAATATCATGCCCTGGCCAGTTTGTCTCAGCAGTTGAACGTCGACCTGTGGACCAGAGAGTCTTGGGTTCGGTTTCCGCTAGGGGCACATACTACAAAAAAAACACATAAAAATATCATTTTGGCCCTTCTGGTTCCTTTCCTTTCCATACACATTTTAGAATGAGTTTGTTTATACAGCTATAAAACAGCCTGCTGGGACTGGGATAACTCTATAGCTCAATTTGGAGAGAATTGGAGGTCATTTCTATGTCAGGTCTTCTATTCCATGTAAATGACTTGTCCCTACAGTTATTTGGGTCATCTTTGAGTTCTTTCTTCAGCATTTCATAGTTTTCAGCATATAGATCCTGTAGGCTGTTTGGGTTATTTTTAGTTATTAACTATTATAAGTACAGCTGCATTTTGGATGTGGCATAATGGTGCATGCAGTTTCAGTGTTGGTGGTTAATGCCAAATTACTTTCTTAAAAGACTACTAGATAACATTCTCAGTAAAAGTGAATAAGAGTGTGTCTGTTTTCCCACATCCTTACAAATGCTGGATATTTTCAATCTTTTCATTCTCTTCACTCAGATAAAAAGTATTGTAGCTCATTAATTTTAATTTCTTTGATTACTTGAGAAGTTGAACTTTTATTCTGTCAGTTGTCTTTACCTATTTTTGTCAAGTGGGTTTTTTTCTTACTGATTCTAGAAGAGTTTAACTTTTTATGAGGATTAGTGTTCTGTTTAGATTGCAAGTATTTTTTCCAGCCAGGGTTGTGTAACTTGGTGGTGCTATTCACTACAATAGAGACTAGAAGAAGAGCAAAAATACAGGAAAAAGCTGTAGAGGGGAAAAGAGTTTTAGTTTTAGATATTTAGAGATATTCAAGTAGATATGATTTAACAAAAATATGGCAGAGAGAAGTGATATTGATAGAGGATTGAGTGATAGTACTAATCCATCAGAAAACTGCATATAGTCGGCCCTCGTTTATCGCGGTTAATCAGTTCCAGACTCTATTGCAATAAATGAATTTCCGTGAAGTAGTGTTCTTTATATATAGTCGTCCCTTGCCACTTTGTGCTTAGACTTTTGCGGCTTCACTCTATTGCGATTTTTCAAATATAGCATAGCATAGCATAGCACAGCATAGCACAGCACAACATTAGCATAGCATTAGCATAGCATTGCATTTAAAAAAAAAAACCACAATAGAGTGAAGCCCCCAAAGTCAAAGCTCAAAGTGGCCAGGGACAACTGTATTTGGATTAGTTTTATTCAGTTCACATATGCTTTTTTTAAATTAATTTAGTTTTGTTACAGATGTTTCTCCTTTTCCCGCCAATGATTCCTCCCTCCCCCTCACTCCCTGCCCTATCCCCAGCTTTGTTGTCCATGTCCATTGTTCATGCACACATGCATATAAGTTCTGTGGTTTATCTCTCCCCACCACATCCTCTTTTGGGGATTGTCAGCCTGTACCTCACTTCCATGTCTCTGGCACTACCCCATTTCTCAGACTGTTATGTTCATTATATTACACAAATAAGTGAGATCATATGATACTTGTCTTTCCCTGTTTGCCTTGTTTTGCTGTTTTGATTACAGTGGTTTTGTAGTATAACCTGAAATCTGGTAATGTGATTCCTCCTACTTTGTTCTTCTTTTTCAAGATTACTGTGGCTATTTGAGGTCTTTTTTAGTTCCATATGAACTTTTGAAGTATTCTAGTTCTGTGAAGTATGTCGTTGGTATTTTGATGGGGATTGCATTGAATCTATAGATTGCTTTGGGTAGTATGAACATTTTAATGATGTTAATTCTCCCAATCCATGAACAGGGTATGTGCTTCCACTTTTTTATATCTTCCTCTATTTCTTTTTTCAATGTCCTGTAGTTTTCTGCAAATAGTTCCTTTACTTCTGTGGTTAAGTTTATTCCTAAGTATCTTGATTGTTTTGCCTCAATGGTAAATGGGATTGTTTTCTTACTCTTTATGTGAGTTCATCATTGGTGTATAAGAATGCCATCAATTTCTTGACGTTAATTTTGTATCCTGCTACTTTGCCAAATTCTTATATTAAGTCTAGTAAATTTTTGATGGAGTCTTTGGGGTTTTCTACGTATAGTATCATGTCATCTGCGAATAATGACAGTTTCACTTCCTCCTTTCCAATTTGGATCCCTTTTATTTTTTCTTCCTATCTGATTGCTGTGGCTAAGACTTCGAGTACTATGTTAAATAACAGTGGTGAGTGTGGGCATCTTTTTCTTGTTCCTGTTCTTAAGGGAAATGCTTTTAATTTTTGCCCATTGAGTATGATGTTGGCTGTAGGTCTTTCATACATGGCCTTTATTATGTTGAGATATGATCCCTCTATTTCCACATTGCTGAGTGTTTTTATCAGAAATGGATTTTGTCGAAGGCTTTTTCGGCATCTATTGATATGATCATGTGGTTTTTAATCTTCATTTTATTTATGTGGTGTATCACATTTATTGATTTGCGAATATTGTACCAGCCTTGCATCCCTGGGATGAATCCCACTTGGTCATGGTGAATATTTTTTTGATGTGTTGCTGGAAGCAATTTGATAGTATTTTGGCATCTATGTTCATCAGGGATATTGGCCTGTAGTTTTCTTTCTTTGCAGTGTCTTTTCCTGGTTTTGGAATTAGAATTTTGCTGGCCTCATAGAACGTGTTTGGAAGTCTTCCTTCTTCTTGAATTTTTGAAATAGTTTGAGGAGAATGGGTGTTATTTCTTTTTTGAATGATTGGTAAAACTTCCCCATGAAGCCATCCAGGCCTAGGCTTTTGTTTGCTGGGAGAGTCTTGATTACATCTTCAATTTTCTTAGTTCTTATTGGTCTGTTCAAGTTTTCTATCTCTTCCCGGTCCAGTTTTGGGAGACCATGTGTTTCTAGAAATTTGTCCATTTTGCTTCGTTTGTCGAATTTGTTGTCATATAATTGTTCATAGTAGTTGTTAAGGATGTTTTGTATTTCTGTGGTGTCAATTGTTATTTCTCCTCTTTCATTTCTGATATTGTGTATTTGGGTTCTCTCTCTTTATTTCTTGGTGAGTCTATCTAAGGGTCCATCAATATTGTTTATCTTTTCGAAAAACTAGCTCTTTGTTCCATTGATCCTTTGAATTGTTTTTTGGGATGCTATGTCATTTATTTCTGCTCTGACCTTTACTATTTCCTTCCTTCTACTTTCTCTGGGGTTTTCTGTTTGTTTGCTTTGTAGTTATTTTAGTTGTGAGGTTAGATAGTCTATTATAGACTTTTCTTGTTTCTTGAGGTAGGCCTTTAGTGCTATGAATTTCCCTCTCAGAACTGTTTTTGTTGCATCCCATAGATGTTGTGTTGTCGTGTGTTCATTTTCATTGGTTTCCAGGAAGTTTTAAATGTCTTCTTCGATCTCCTCGGTAACCCATTCGTTGTTTAAAAGCATGCTATTTAGCCTCCATGTGTTCAAATGTTTATGCATGTTACTATTGCATTTGATTTCTAGTTTCATGCCATTGTGATCTGAGAAGATGCTTGATATGATTTCAATCTTCTTGAATTTGTAGTGACTTAGTTTGTGTGCTAACATTTGGTCTATCTTTGAGAATGTCCCATGTGCACTTGAGAAGAATGTGAATTCTGTAGTTTGGGGTATATTTCTCAGTAGATGTCTATTAAATCCTTTTGGTCTAGTGCTTTGTTTAGAGTCTCTGTTTCGTTGCTAATTTTTTGTCTAGAGGATCTGTCCAGTGATAGATGAGCAAGGTGTTGAAGTCCCTTGCTATGATTGTATTGCTATCGATTTCTCCTTTGAAGTCTTCCAGAAGATTTTTAATATATTTTGGTGCTCCTATATTGGGTGCATATATGTATATCAAGGTTATATATTCCTGTTGGATAGATCCTTTCATTATTATGTAGTGGCCTTCTTTGTCTCTAGTATTGGTCTTCATTTTGAAATCTATTTTATCAGATATGAGTATTGCTACCTCAACTTGTTTTTCCTTTACGTTTGCTTGGAAGATTTTTTTCCATCCCTTCAGTTTCAACCTATGTGAGTCTTTTGTTGTGAGGTGGGTCTCTTGTAAACAAAATATATGTGAGTCATGCTTTCTTATCCAGTCAGCTACTCTGTGTCTTTTTACCGGAGCATTCAATCAATTAACATTTAAGGTGATTATTGATATATACTTATTTATTGCCACTTTTGTTTAGTGTGGTTCTATTTTTCTTCCTATTTCTCCTGCTAATTACAGCAGTCCTTTTAACATTTCTTGCAGTGCTGGTTTGGGGCTAATGTTTTCCCTTAGCCTTTTTTTGTGTGTGGGAAGCTCTTTATTTGACCTTCTATTTTGAATGATAGCTTGCTGGGTAGAGTCGTCTTAGATTCAGATCCTTGTTTTTCATGACCTTGATTACCTCATGCCACTCCCTTCTGGCCTGTAGTGTTTCTGTGGAGAAGTCAGCTGAGAGCCTTATGGGGTTTCCTTAGTAGGTAACCTGTTGCTTATCTCTTGGTGCTTTTAGGATTCTCTCTTTGTCTTTTATTTTTGGCATTTTGATTACTCTGTGTCTTGGTGTGGGCCTGTTTGAGTTCTTCTTACTGGGGGCTCTCTGTGCTTCTTGAACTTGAATGCCTTCTTCCTTCACCAAATTAGGGAAGTTTTCTGTCACTATTTCTTCAAATATATTCTCTACCCCTTGCTCATTTATTCTTCTTCGGGGACTCCTATGATGCGAATATTATTACATTTCCAGTTGTCCCACATTTCTCTTAAGCTGTCTTCCTGGTTTTTAATTGTTTTTTCTTTTTAGTTTTGTGATTGGTTGATTTTTTTCTACCCTGTCTTCTAATTCACTGATCCAGTACTCTGCTTCCTCTACTCTGCTATTTAGACCTTCCAATGTGTTCTTTATTTCTGATATTTCATTCTTCCTTTCTTCTTGGTGGTTTTTAATTTCCAGCTGGTTGATTTTCAACATTTCTATGTCTTCACTCATGGTGCTCATGTCCTTACACATGCTGTTGAGCTTCCTCAAGATCATGGCTCTGAACTCTAGTTCTGTTAACTTGCTTAACTGCACCTCATTTATCTCATCGTTGGTAGAGGTCTCTTGTTCTTTCATTTGGCTTTTGTTTCTTTGTTTCACCATTTTGGCTATCACAGTGGGCTTTGGTGCCTGCTGAATTTACCCTATGGGTGTTGGTGTTCTTCTGCTTGTGGCTCCCCCTCCTGGGTTTGGAGGAGCTAGGGAGGACCCACGTTAAACCCCACTGTGAAGTCTTACTTTCCTGGTTATAGTTGCTAGCCCAGGAATGGTACAGTTATCCTCTAGCTTTTTGTGTGGAGGCTATCAGTAGTGGTTACTTGAAGAGCCTTGGCTTCTCTGTTGAATGAAAAACTCCCTCAGGTGTTCAGCATAAGGGGATTTTCCAAGGGTGGGGCAGATGCTGGTTGGTAATGAGCCTCAATTTGCATTTAAATGGCCACCGGGTGGGGTTGCATCTCCGAGGGAGAGGCCACTGCCTCTTCCCAGAGCCCTGGGAAGGAGCAAGAGGGCCACCAGCCTGTGTGGCCACAACTCAGCAAAAGCTCTGAGTGCCCTCCAAATCCCGAGTGTCCCCACACAGTTCCAGTCCACCCTTCCTCTGCTAGAGCCCAAGGTGAATGGCTGTGGCTATTTTTGTATCTCTCCTGGCTCTGCGCTGTGGAGCTGCTTGGGAGTGTTACCCCGAGGGTGCTGCTCACTGCTAAGGCTGCTGCTGTCTGTGTGCTTGCAGCCCTCCTCAGGCTTCCGCAATCCTACCAGGATCAATTGGTGTCCCTTGTGATATGGTCCTCCAAGCTGCTTTTCTGTTGCTTTTTCCTCACGATTTGTCTTTATTTTAGTTGTAATTCCAGTTTGGTCCTGGGAGATGGTCTGTGTAGCTTCCATTTACTCTGCTGCCGTTTTTGGGTTTCCACGGGTCAAGGGTCCAGGCCTGACTTAGCTCGAGCCTCTGTGCAGGATCTCACCAGGCTATAGTCATGGGGTCAGCTTGACTAGGGAAGAATCCACATCCAAGCTCATTCAGGTTGTTTACAGAATTCCAGTTCACATATTCTTGATGAAATTCTTTTCACTGAGTTTTAGTGTTTGTGCCTGCTGTCTTTACCAAGGGAAGTTGGCATATTCTGTCGCTATATTTGGATGTGCTTTTCCCAGTATTCCTTACATGAAGTTGCTTGTGAGAAATCTCCGTGGGATCATGTGCTAGACTTTCTGAGCAACAGTAATTCATACCTTACAGCCTTAGTCTTTTTAAGAAACAGACTTATGTTGGCTGTAAAGTTAATTTCTTCACCTTACTTCTTGACTTCCAATTCTGATTTTACTATTTTATTTTTTAAGCAAACTTCAAACTTTTTAGAGAGGGACAAGAGTATAAATAAAAGAATTGCCAGCAATCATTGAAGTCTATTGATTTCCGGTGCCAGACATGGGGCCTTGCACATAGGTTAGATGCTGGGTAGATGTATAATGAATGTTACTGTCATACAAAGAACTGGATGGCAATTGTCTATGAAAATGGAAAGTCAGAAGAGTTTTTAATAATGTACTTCAGTGATTTATCCTGACAAAAAGAAATAAGCCTGTGTTTCTTATTTCTTGCTGTCGTTGAAACTATAGATTGCAAACCATACTGGGTACATCAAGGTTGACTGGCAACGAGTAGAGAAGGACATGAAGAAAGCCAAGGAACAGCTGAAGATCCGTAAGAGCAACCACATATCTACAGAGATGAAAAGCAAAGCTGAGGAGGTGAGACTGGTTTTGTTTTCATGAAGTGTGTGAAGGATGTAAACAATTTTGTGTGTACAAAAATGGGGCTAGATACACCTATTTGTCAGCTTTGGATGGAATAGCTTCACCTCAGACATTTTTTTTTTTATTTTGTTCAGATAGAGTGGGGGAGAGAGAGAGACAGAGAGAGAGAGAGAAACATCGATGTGAAAGGGACACATCGAGTGGCTGCCACCCTCACAACCCAACCAGGGCCGGGGACAAACTGCAACCGAGGTACGTGCCCTTAGCGGGAACCGAACCCGGGTCAGACATTTTTTAAAATTCTCACCTGAGGACATGCTTGGTGAGAGGAAGGCAGAGAGAGAGAGAGAGAGGGAGAGAGAGAGAGAGAGAGAGAAACACAAAGAGAAACAGAAACATCAATCGGTTGCCTTCCATGCATGCTCTGATTGGGGACTGAACCTGCAACCTTTCAGTGCACAGGATGACATTCAACCAACTGAGCCACTCAGGCTGGGCCAGAGACATTTTTTGTAAAGCTGGGTAACTGAAGTTTTTAGTGACTTGTCAGTGAGTGAGAATGCTGAGTGATAATGTGCACATATGTGCATCAGTCATTTCTTGTAGGGATGGGGGCAATGCAGCAAGTGGGGAGGATAATGATGATGTAGCTTATACAGCCAATAATTTTTTATCCATGCACACACATTTCTGAAATGTCCATACTTTACCTATTCTACATATAACTAATGAAATGTCTAGCCTTGGGGATGGCAACCTTTTTTTGTAAAGGGCCAAATGATAAATATTTTCAGCTTTGAAAACCATGTGATCTCTGTTACAACTATTGAACTGCACTGTGAAACATGAAAATAACCAGAGATGATATGTAGACAAGTGAATGCAGCTGTGTTGCAATGGAACTTTATTCAAAAACACCCAGCGGGCTGGATTTGACCCATGGGGTGTAGTTTGCTAACCCCTGATCTAATGCATAAAACCAGGTTAGGTTATATTGTCTGACACTGGAGGAATAGGAAAAAAATTTCCTTTTTAAAATATTTTATTTTGCGACTGCTTTATTACCTTTAGAAATATGTCAAATGTCCCAAAGAAGTAAGTGCACTGAACTGGAGAGAAATAAACCAGGATCCAGGTGCCTGGCACCTTCCATAGCCTAGAGCAATAGAGTTCTCGGTTCACAGAGGAAAGGGGAAGGATTTATGATTTTAAGGGTAAATTAAAATAGGCCTTGTCCTCAAGGCACTGACAGTCTAGTAGCAATGACAGGACAAAGTCATGTAAACCAAATAGAATAGGTGCCAGAGAACTTGGGTTAAACATGCATTTATCTCTGCTTCCTTCTGAAATATATCTAAATGACAGTAACAAAATAAAAATTGTTAAACCCATAAGGACCAAGAGAATAGAACAGCGATGCTGGTAGACAACAAATGTCAGCAAATTTGGGAGAGTGGAAAGGCAGATAGATGAGTGAGTGGTAAATGACTTTAGCAGACTGGGAAAGTACTGGACAACTAACTCCACATCGCCAGGTACATGATGACAGTTTTTATATGGTGGCAAGTGGAAAGTGGCATTTGTGAGGCCCCAGGAGCACAGGTAGTCCCTCTTCCTTTTCTCCTTCCATTCCTCTTCCTCAAGCTTAGGTCTGAAAATTACACTTTTCTCATTTCAACAAACCTTTATATTCAAACAGTTACAAAAGTAATACAGCCCTGGCTGATTTGGCTCCGCAGACCAAAGGATCTCGGGTTCGATTCCCAGTCAAGGGTACATGCCTAGGTTGCAGGTTTGATCCCCAGCCCAGGTCAGGGTCGTGCGGTAGGCAACCAATCCATGTGTCTCTCTCACATCAATGTTTCTCTCTTTCTCTCTCTTCCTCTATCCCTTCCACTCTGTCTAAAAATCAATGGGAAAAATATCCTTGGGTGAGGATTAACCGGAATAAATAAATGATTATTGGAAACTTCTTTAATGATACTGGAAGTATAATAATAAAAAGTATAAGGTTAATGTTTGATTAGAACCAACTATTGACTGACAGAGGGGACTTGTTATAAACTAACCAAAAGGTTTGGAATTGGTTTTGTATTCCTGGTCATGGCCTGGCACTGTCACATGCCTCAGGGATAGTGGCTGGTTCCCCCCTCAGATCCCATGGCCTTATTTGGGAAGCAAGGAATGGAAATGATAAATTCACTATTTAACCACAACAATGGCTTCAGTGAGAACAGTTTTAATGGACTGGTAGAGTTGAAAGCCAAACTATAGTAACTTGAAGAATGAGTAGGAAGTAAGAAAGTAAAGATAAAGGAAAGCAATTATTTCAGGAAGTTGTATGATTTTTTTTCCATTCTCCCTGATGGCAGATAAGGACCTCACCTGTTAATCATCCTCTGATTTGGTGAAGTGTGAGAGTAAGAATTCATAGTATCTACTTCAGAGGAGGTCTCAGAGGGGGATGGGTGGATGGATGGACAGACGGATGGATAGGATGAATATATGGAGAAATTTGGAGGAGAGATTCAGAGGTAGCAGCCTCCACTGTAGAGTGGTGTTGAAGAAAATAGAAAGGGAAACTAGAAATCTTGAATTGCCTCTAACCAGTTTATTGAATACTGCTTTACTCTTTCCCCATAACTGCCCCCATGAACTCTGTCCTTCCCTGTTCCTGCATGAACTTTTAGGCAGATTTCTTTTCTTTAAAATTTTTTTTTCCTTTTATTGATTTTAGAGAGAGAGGAAGTGAGAGGGACAGAAAGATAGAAACATCGATGAGAGAGAACATTGATTGGCCACCTCCTGCATGCCTCCAACTGGGGATCGGCCCACAACCTGGGCATGAGTCCTGACAGGGAATCAAACCAGCGACCTCTTGGTGCATGGGTCGATGCTCAACCACTTAGCCACACCAGCTGGACTAGGCGGATTTCTTTGCTCTATTACTAAATACAGAATCCATTGAGTTGCCCTTGACCTCTCTTCCTCCTCCCCCATATGGCCAGTTGTCTGGTCACACAAAATCCTGTCTCAAAAACATCTCTTGAATTTGATCACTGTGCACTAGCACCCCTGCCACCATCTTGATCCAAAGATCTATCATCTCACCCTCTGATCTGTGTCCTTTTTCCTGAGGGTCTCCTTGTAGTCTTACTCTCTCCACAGGCGTCATTTCACATGTAAATCCATTCATGGCTTCCATTGCCCTGTGGGTAAAGTAAAAACTACTCAACAGATGAGGAAATTGCATTGTCAAGATTGCATAGATAATAGAGACAATTTCTAATGATAATAATAATAATAATGATAATATCCTTAGCAAAATAGCCCATTGTGCTATCTTCTATTCCTAGATGGTGTCATTTGTGAAGAAGAACGTTCTAGTGACTGGTGGATTTTTCGGAGGCTTTCTGCTTGGCATGGCATCCTAAGGAGACGACTTCACTTCCATTATTACTGGTTTTTTCCACCTAGACCAGCCTCTTCACTCCATCATAGGAAATCAAGTCTCTTCCTCCTCCTGTTCTCCTGTGCCTTCCTCCCTGCTGTAGCATATCCGAATGGCTTCTATAGGCATCTGTTACAAACTAATAAGGCCCCACTGTGAGCCTCATGACAACAATGGAAGAGACTATAGATATTAGCTCTCCTCCCAGAACACTCCCCACTTGACTAATCTGTATGTCAGCAAGAATGTTCCTTTCCCCCCTACATAAGATACTAACACATAATACAAGATGACTCGCTGTGGAGGATGAGTGGATCCTCAAAGGTTGTCCCAAATTTGATTTGGAAAAGGAAGAACAAGCACATAGATACCTTATGTGCTGCATGGAAAGGAACTGAATACATTTGCCTTTAAGCATGAAGAATTTTGGTGTTTATTTTCTTTTAAAGTTGGTTTTAGATTACAGAAAGAGAGGTATTTATAACTGCTATAATTATCCTGACAAAATGGTGGTATAATAGAAAATTATGAACATAGTATGAACTTGTGCTAAACGTATATATACTGAACTGAAGATACTGTGTTTGGTGGGAAAATCTTTAGGAAAATCAACCAATAGATACATCATTGGAAAATCAGACTTAATGAATCATTTGGGGGCATTAAGATGTTATCCGGGGGTGAGGGGTTCACCATACAGAATAATGCATCTCATGGCTATTTCCAAAGGGTTTATTTATGGTAAAATAAGTGACGTTAGGTGGTAGAACGAGGAAGCTCTTGGATTTTTATTTTGTACAAATGATTTTAAGCTTTGAAATGTGAGGTGTTCTCTACTTCTTGTCAAAGCATTAGGGGTATTCATAGCTCCTGTGCCAATTCTACTATTTCTTTTTTCAGTTAGTATAAAATCTATAACATTTGAACCTGAGTTTTAAGAGGTAGCATTCCAGGTATTCAGAATTGAGAATGGTGACAATAGCACGTGAAATAAATTATTTCCATCATGAAATGTAATATGCTATCTCATGACTCTGACTCTTAGACTTATTCTTTAAAATAAAAGTTGACAGACACACATACACTTAGAATATTAGCAAATTTTACTCTAATGCCTGATGCCACATCTGCAACCCTAACTAAAATATCTGCTTCTAGAGGGCAAGGCTTGTGTGTTCACCATTATACTCATGGAGACTAGCACTTAATAGGTACTCACTGTTTGCCGAATATATGAATAATGACCTTATACAAAGGTATCTGGAAAAGGGGATGATGCAAAGAATTGAGACTTTATGAGTTCTGAGAATGCAGAAAACTTGGAATTAATTCTTAAACTTGCAGGTGATCCCTTGCAAAATGTATGTTTTTAAGGCCTTTTAAAATGTTTGCCTTTTAACTTGTCTTGAGAATAATGCATTGAATATGGAAATTGTAGCTACCAGTGGATGTGGGGAACTTTTTAGAGTTCATCTATTTGCACTTTTCTTGTTACATTATGGTAGTACTTTAAGGCAGCTTAAGTTATTTTGTTGGCAGTGTGTATGAATCGTCCCCAATAATTATCTATGAGCCTCTTTGTTGCATATTTTTGTACAAGAACTTAAAGTTTTTTCACTTTTTATTATGGAAACTTTCAAACATACAAAAGTAGAGAAAGTAGCACAATGATCCCCTATGTATCCATTACCCACCTACAATGATAATCAAATTATAGCTTGTTTTATCAATTATTTTGAAATAAATACCAAATGTGTCATCATATTTTAGTATGTATCTCTAAAAGGTAAGAACTCTTTAAAAATCACAAATACAATCTTCTATTATACCAAAAACTAATAATTCTTTAATATCATTAGGTATCTAGTTAGGGTTCAAAATTTCCTGTCTCTTAAGTTTTACATTTGGTTTCTTTGAATCAAAATCCATATAAGGTTCACATTGCATTTGAATGATGTCTCTTAAGTCTCGATATTATGTTTTTATTTTGACTTCCAGTATATCGAAGACACTGAGTTATTTATTCCCTCGTTCCCTACATTCTGCTTCTGATGCCTGGGTTATGCTAAATATGGCAATCAAGACAAGCTATTTGATGACTCTACCCATGTGACACCCAGACCGATGGATTGGCGACTATAAAACCTAACTGAAGTGCCCAGTGTACCTTTGGGTTGCATGTGAGGGATAGTGGCCACTGAATGCCTCTCCAGTGAGGTGTGGGTTGCCTTTTGTCCATCTATTTTTTCTGTGATTATTGGTGATAACAACAAAGATTAGGTTGGTCTAAGATACTTTGAGTGGTTTGCAATAGTAGATAATAGACTGAAATAAGCTATATAGGTCCTTCCTAAAGTTTATTCTCAGCTGTCTGCTTCTGGGATCCTGAAGAGCATGGTTGAAAGCAATATTCCATGTTTGTCTCATCCTGAGCTGCTATGAGAATGGCCTTGAGTTCTGCCCACTGAGTCAAGCCACCACTTGTGGCTGTTGCAGAGCTGGTGTTGTGGTTAACAGTGGCAGTGCTCTGGCACACATCTTGGGTTTCAGCTGAGCTGAACTGCCAGTGAGGTAGGCTCAGGCCTCTAAGTTGAGGCTCTGTTGTCAGCAGCTTTGCTTCAGGTGGAGAAGTGGGAGATAAGATTTCCCTCAAAAGAAGAACTGCCACCCTTTATGCAAAACCAAGATACCAGCCCTGGCCAGTTTTGCTCAGCAGATGGAGCGTTGGCCGGCGGACCGAAGGGTTGGGGGGTTTGATTCCCAGTCAAGGGCATGTACCTAGGTTGCAGGTTTGAGCCCCAGCCCTGGGAGGCAATTAATCTGTGTGTCTCTAATGCACAGATGTTTCTCTCCTCCTCCCCTCTCTAAAAACCAATGGGAAAATATCCTTGGGTGAGGATTAACCAAAAACAAGAAAACAAGTTAACAGGGCTAGGCGACTGCAGCTGTGAAGGCACTGTTTTCATTTGACTAGGGAGGCCTGTTTAGCGAGGCACATATTTTTCTCCAGTACCCAGAGTCCAGTCATGTGCTAGGCGTCCTTTTTAGTGCTGGAGGTGGAGGTGGGCGAGGAGACAGCAGTTTTTCCTTGACTGATTGAGGGATTCAGTGTGCTCTCTAAGGCTCCACCCCAGCAACTTGATTTTGAACATGTTCCGAGTTTTGTTGTCCCCTGCTGGCAGAGATGTGGTAATGCCTCACTCAGGGCTTCTCTCTCTGGCAAAGAGCGATGTCGGTACCCGCACAAAACACATATGTACTTGGTGGCTGGAGCCTCTGCGAGGGTTTTCTCCCTTTTGTCTCTTCACACTGCCGTGTCCTCACCACTCTGGACCATTTTTTGACCCAGCTTTCCTCCTGTGATGGAACCAGGTAGGATGAGGACTTGGGGCCGAGTACTGTAGAGCTATAATGCTTGAGTCCCTTATCCCAGAAGTTCTTTCTGGTGTCAGAGGAGAGGGGATTGGTATCCAGGGGGCCGTTTTTTGCTCTACCGTGCTGCGTTCAGGCATAACAAATACTCTCATGTTTTCAGTATCCCTAAGGAGCGATTCCTCAGTGCTGACACTGATAAGAGCTCACGGGATTCCTGCCTGAGCACCCCTATTGTTATGAGTGTCACTGCCATTGTACTAACATACTAATGAGACTTTGCTCCTGCTGCCCTGTTTGCTTCAATCTCTGGCCACTCCACCAAGGACATTCCACAACAGGAAAGGGGTCGGGGTTTGACTTCCTGGCCTACCACTTGGGTGAAAGCCTTCCCTACTGGACCTGGGCAGTTTCCCATCATGGATACTGGCAGAAGACAGGAGGTGATTAAAGTTGGAAGACATATTTTTGTTTCAAATGATTTATTGAGTAATAAAATTAGTTAACAGTATTCTCACATGGAGGATTTGTTGATGTTATCACATAACTGAGATAGAAAGTAGGGATTGGTTTATTCATATTCATATTCTCTCTCCCTCACCCCTTCTACCTCCCTCCTCCACCCTTAACTTTATCCCCCATCTCTTTTTCCTCCTCCCTCCCTCTCCCTTATTCATTTTTCTTGAAGGAACAACTCTTTCTTAATTGTAATTAACATACTCTGGGTGGGTGCTTGTAGTTTTGAAGTGCAGTTGCTGTGTAGTTAACTATTTTAAGAATGTTCTCACCATCATCCTTTTGTTTGGCATTTGTCAGAAAGATAGACATGACTAATAGGCTCTTATTTGAAATCTCTACTTTGAGAAAATACATAAATTTCTGGTTGAAAAAAATGGTATAGGGATGGACTTGAAATTTCTAAGTATCATTGATTATCATATTGATCTCAGTTACTTCTATGAAGGAAACTCACTTAAGGCCAGTTGTAGACCCTGTAGAGAAAATTAGACTGCTGCCCTCTCTGCTTCCTCCACCAATTTAGCTTTGTTTGTCATGAAGTGCAGGTATGGGATCTTCTTTTTTCATTTTTTAAAAAAACTGATTATTTCCCAGCAACCTTATTTCCCTTTTCTGTTTAAAACCACTCAGTGCTGGCACCTACCCTTTCAGTGGCCTGAGCAGTGGGGACTGCACTCCAGTCTTCAGAAGGGAACTACTGAATAGGCACCAGGGCACCTGCAGAAGAGTCTGAGACCTCAGGTTGAGTGGCAGTAAATTCGGGAGCTGCAGCAGTCCATTCACCCTGAAATTCTTCCTTGGGACCTTCTTAATCACTTATACAATGTTAGTGTGACCTCTTGGAGAACTGGGCAGAACATTTATCTTAATCTGAACCTGATTTCCCAGAAATCATATGGTGTGGCTTACATCTGTGATGTTTGATTCTTAAGGAATTTTCTTTTTAATGGTTACCCCAGGATACCTCCCCCCCATTTATCTTCAGATAGAGTGGGAGGGAGGGAGAGAGCGAAAGAGAAACACATCAACTGCTTGCCTCCTACATGACCCTGACCAGGGCTGGGGACCAAACCACAACCAAGGTACACGCCCTTGACTGGGATTGAACCCACGACTCTTTGGTCCACGGGCTGATGCTCTAACCGCTGAGCCAAAATGGCCAGGGTAAGGAATCATGAATTTTTTTTTTTTTTTTATCCTCACCCGAGGACATTTTTCGATATTTTGTTCAGATAGAGAGAGAGAGAAACATCGACGTGAAAGTGACACATCGAGTGGTTGCCACCCACACGACCCAACCAGGGCCGGGGACAAACTGCAACCAAGGTACGTGCCCTTAGTGGGAACCGAACCCGGGTCTCTCCGGACCGCAGGCCGACGCTCTTACCGCTGAGCCAAACCGGCCAGGGCAGAAATCATGAATTTTAAGAGCACTATTTTTCTAAAGAAAACTGAGTATTGCACTTTATTATTTATTTATTTATTTATTTATTTATTTAATCCTCACCCGAGGACATTTTTCCACTTTTTGTTTTAGGTAGAGTGGGAGGGAGAGAGAGGAACAGAGAGAGAGAGAAACATCGATGTGAAAGGGACACATCGAGTGGTTGCCACCCGCACGACCAACCAGGGCCGGGGACAAACTGCAACTGAGGTACGTGCCCTTAGCGGGAACCGAACCCGGGTCTCTCGGGACCGCAGGCCGACGCTCTAACCGCTGAGCCAAACCGGCCAGGGCTGAGTATTGCACTTTTTAATAAAAATTAAGTCAGCTTATTGACTCACTCAAACTGTCTGAATTTGAAATAAGAAATGCCATTAGGATTATTGAGAGCAGTGGTTCTCATCCTTGCTTGCACATGGGAATCAACCTACAGAGTTTTGCAAACTACTGACACCTGGCTGTCATCCTAGACACTTGATTTAACTGGTCTGAGATACCACTAGGACAGCCTGAGTTTTTAATTTGTCTCAGATGTTTCTAATGAGCAGACAAGGTTGAAACCACTGAAATACAGAGTAGGAAGCTGGTGCTAATACTAGAGTTCTACCGTTAAAAGTGACTACTTAACAGGCCCTTTAAAGCCTTTTACGTTAAGTGTCTGAAGATAAGTGTAATATCACAGTTTATTAGATGTTATAGGAATAGTGTGGAGCGGATGCAGGGAAGCACATTGTCATACTGTAGCCTAATGGCAGAACAGGGGCTTTTGTCATTAGTGGATACTAAAGCTATGGGGTGAAAGGTTGTGGGATATTTGTAGGGCACCAGCATATCACCCTACATATTATCCATTACAGAGGGAAAACTACTTTCCAGCCTAGAGGTCTGTCAGTCACTACTTAACCAAGTGATTAAATTTATCATCACTAATAAATAGCCTATTTAAAAGCTTTTTAGTCTCTAAAATGCGGAGGGAAGTGGGAGGAGGGGTGGGGAGAGATTAACCAAAGATTTTATATGCATATATGCATAACCAATGGACACAGACAATAGTTCAGTAAAGGCATGGGAGTGGGCAGGAGCGGGGTGGAGGCAGTCAGTGGGGGAAATGAGGGACATCTGTAATACTTTCAACAATGAAGATGAATTTTTAAAAATAGAGGATGAGATCATAGTTCTTACCTTCCCAGTTCTTCCCTGAAGACTGACATTCAGTGCTAATCATGGTCCCTAATGTGGCAGGATAGTAAGAAGCTATGAAAATTCCTGGGCAAGACAAGAAAATTAAACAAGGCCAAACAGTTTGGGCAACTTACAGCCAGTTTGTGAATCATAAGACATTATCTTTCCCAGCCAAGGACACAAAGAGCAAATGGTTTTATACCCTCCTCCCTAACCAGAAAATGCATAGTTTAAATCACCCTGGCCTGGGAAAATAGAGAACAAAGACCCAATTAATGCCATTTGTGCCAGCTAAACCCAAGGACAGATAAAATTGGGGAACAAATAACAAAAGCCCCATTAAAGCCAGACAGACCTAAGATAAAAGTTAAACAATAAAAGACCAAAAAAATAACATTAAAAATGCACCTGGAAAACTGATGAATATTCCACTGAAACCCTCCCCTAAGATTCTTGCCTGCAGGGGGAAAAGAAGGATAGAAAGCCCTCAGGACAAAGACTCAATACAAGCTCACTCTGGAGCACACACCCATGCCCCTCCCCAGGCATGAACTTTTAATTTCTAAGGTCCCCACAAGACTTGCAGCCAGGAGAGCAGTGGGCCCCTGATCCTGTCTCCAAGGCCCCCTTTCCTCTGACTTCCCAGTGAGCTAACAGCAGCCCTGCCTTGGCTCACTTCTTTCCTGTAACATTTCTAGAGAGCCAAAGCAGAGCACCACCTAGGTAGGCTCTTCCCTGTTGTTTCTTCTACCCTAATTCCTTCCTTTGTTTCACTGTCCCCAGCTTTAATAAACATACTCTCAAACTCATCTGGCGTCGTGTTATGAAATCTTTCCTGCACAAAGTCAAGAACCCACACTACAGGCTGGCCTGAGGCAGACCTGCTCCAGCCGGCCCCTGTCCGGTAACACCTAACATAAAAACACGCAGTAAATGTTAAGCTTCTCTGATGGTTATTTTATTTTTCTGTATGTCATAATAGCTAGGAAGAATAAGATTTAAATCAATGCTGCCCGGCCGGTGTAGCTCAGTGGTTGAGCTTCAACTCATGCACCAAGAGGTCACTGGTTCGTTTCCTGGTCAGGGCACATGCCCAGGTTGTGGGCCAAATTCCCAGTGGGGGGCATGCAGGAGGCGGCCAATCGATGTTCTCTCTCATCGATGTTTCTAGCTCTCCCTTCCTCTCTCTCAAATCAATAAAGAAAAATAAATAAATCAATGTCTGCCAATAGATGTTGACTTAAACTGAGAAAGAATTGAATTTAAAGATAGGAAGGAATGATTGATTTGAAGCTTTAAAAGCCCTAAATAAAGTAATATACCTTAAGAAAAATTTAAAACTCTGAAATTTGAGTAGTTAACTTAAAAATAATTTTGTAATAAAGCACAGGAGCCCTGGCTGGTTTGGCTCATCGGTCAGAGCGTCGGCCTGTGGCCCAGAGAGTCCCGGGTTCTGTTCCCGCTGGGGGCACATACCTTGGTTGCAGTTTGTCTTCGTCCCGGTTGGGGTCATGTGGATGGCAACCACTTGATGTGTCTTTTTCACGTCGATGTTTCTCTCTCCCTCCTGCTCTATCGGAAGATAAATGCAAAAAAAATGTCGAGTGAGGATAAAAAAAATAAAGCACAGGACAGCAATCTATTTGATCATGTGATTCCTAATGTAAATCCCAGCACCATCAATTGATCATTTCAAATGTAATTTCGATGTATATATGATGTAAACATAGTTTTAAAATGTTTTACTAAATTGTTTCACTACTAACACAGAGTTCATTTAAATGATTTCATGAGCTTGTAGCAGTTAACCTGGTATGTAGACCAAACACCTCTAAGACACCATTTCTCCAAGTTTCTCCAGAGAACATTCACCCTGAGAGATGCTGTCTGCAAAATGGGTTTGATGGGTACACTTTGGAAACTACTGCATACAATAATAGTCCTTCTCAAAGAGTCATAATTCACATTAGCATATGGAAAGCTCTGAAATCTTACAGTAAAGAAACCTGTTTGCCTGTGTATAATCTAGCATCCCCTAGACTTATCTGAACACAGAAGACTTTTTCCCATTTTAGCAATTCCTAGAAACATTTTGGGGAATGCTACTTCAAAGAACAGTTGGTCTCAAATAATAATGGTATTTGCACATCAAGGACTATCTCAGTCCATTCAGAGCAATGTAGGCCTTTTTTAGCATGCTGGAAGAGGCAAGGAAGTATGCTCTGTTTATGGACTGAATGTATACCCCAAAAACTATATGTTGAAATTCTAACCCCCATGTGATGATATTTGGCTGTGGGGCCTTTGGAAGGTGATTAGTTCATGGGGTTTGAGCCCTCATGAAGGGTTAGTACCCTTATGAAAGAGGCCCCACTGAGCTCCCTCTCCCCTTCCACAATGTGAGGACATATCCAGAAGGCAGCCTCCTACAAACCAGGAAGCAGGCTCTCACCAGACACTGAATCTGTGATGCCTTGGCCTTGGCCTTCCAGTTGTCAGAACTGTGAGAAATAAATGTCTTGTCTATGGTATTCTGTTATAGCAGCTCGAATGAACTATGATAGGAACCTATAAGAATTTGTTTCTGCTCTTGCTTAGAAAGTCATCTTTTTCTTTTATGGTGGGGGGCAGGGAAGAAAGCAAATGGTCTGTTTGATACTGTCACCCTCACCCCACCCCCCATCCACTACTTGAAGTCACTGACAACTGTCAACAGGTTTCCTCTGGCAGCCTTGTATTAACACCAGGATCTGCTGTAATCAGGTTTGACTATAAGACTATACAGAGTAGCCCGTAGCCCTAGCTGGTTTTGCCCAGTGGTTAGAGTGTTGGCCCGAGGACCAGAGTCCAGGGTTTGATCCGCTGTCAAGGGCATGTACCTTGGTTGCGGGTTCTCTGCCCAGGTTGGGGTCCTGCAGAAGACAACCGATTGATGTGTTTCTCTCACATTGATGTTTCTTTCTCTCTCTCTCTCTCCCTCCCTCCCACTCTATCTAAAATTCAATGGAAAAATATCCTTGGGTGAGGATAAAAAAAATAAAATGAAGTTTAAAAATATATATACAGAGTAGATAAACCACCTAAGAATTCAAATTCTGTTGCTGCCTGCCTGACTTCCAATAAAGTTCTCATGATAAATTAGGGGTCATTAAACATTACAAGAATCATGTCTATGCCTTTCTACCACTCACTAAGTATGACATGCCTTCTGGCCAGGTACTGTGATGGGGATGCAAGAGCAGAAAGAAATGCTCTTACTTACATTTGGGAAGACACTGCTTTAAACTGATGGAAATACAACAGGTTGGGTGAGAAAAACCTTTGAATTTAGCACGTCATCTATGAAAGGTGTCATGACGCTGGAGGGCTGAGTGTTTTCACCTAACACTTTATTTGATTAAATTATTGGCTACTGGTGACTGAACTCAATATTCTTCAGCCCCTCCCTCTTCCCCAGAAGTTGGGGGTGGGCATGAGGATGAGGACTAAAAGTTCCAGCCCTCTAATCATGTGGTTGGTTCCCTTGGCAACCAGCCCTCATCTATGGGTTAACTAAGGGCTTTCCTCATTAAAAGTCACCTCATTAATGTATCAAAAGACACCTTATCACTTAGGAAATTCCAAAGGGCTTTAGGAGCTTTGTGCCTGGAATGGAGACAAAAACCAAATATATATTTCTTGTAAGTGACAATATCACAAGTACCAAACCAAAATTTTTTTCACTTAACAGGTTTATTTTAGCAGCTGTTTTATTACATTCTACACATTTGGTTAATATATTTCTATTTGTTCTGCATAGATGGCATATTTATTAACTTTTATAGTTGACTTTTCATTTGATATTTGCTGCTACCTGGCCTGAAGAGTCAGGAGGATAAATGAATCTTGCTTGGTGGAAACGTAGTGCAGCATTTAACTTCTCCGCAGAACTTTACTTTGATGTGGACTTTAGTGTCAGCTTTTCTACCTCTTCTTTTTCAAATCCTGAACAGACGACAGATCTTCCCTTGGGATAGCGAGCACAACACTTACGAAGTTCTTGGATAACAGCCTGACACTTAAATTCCCTGTAGTTGTTGGCTGAAAAACAGACAGGCAGAATCATGATCTCATAGGACTAAGGCACAGGGAGTTTTAGATCAATGCTTCCCACTCCTTTTCACTTTACTATATCTACAGACCTGGAAAAAAGATGTATCAAAGTCCACTGAATTGTTTCTAATTTAGAGACCAGTCAACAGGTTAATTAGGAAGAAAAGTGTGATTTACAGTGGTCAAAATATGTTTTTCTTTATCATTTCTTTAAGGTTGAGTTGGTAGCTTATGTGCCTTTTTCTAGGGCAGGGTTTTTTAACCTCTTCCCTTTTTGGGGGGTCACTAACTCCTTTATAATTTGGTGAATTAGAAAAATGCATATACCCTGCATGTTCTTTTGCATATCATTTAAGGTGACTGGTAGACCTTCCCTACCAAGTCTGTGTATCACAGGTTGGAAACTGCAGCCTCGGGGTCAATCTTTTATAGCTGTGAGCTAATAATGGTTTTTACATTTTTAAAGGGTTGTGATCCACCCCCCCCCCCTTCTCCCATCCCAACAAAGACTTCCTGGCCTCCAAAGCCTAAAATATTTCCTGTTTAGCCCTTGATAGAAAACATTTGCAAACCCCTGTTATAGATCCTAAGTCAAGGAGGACTTGACCTAAAGGTTCTAGGTCAGCTTCAATTGACCTGAGTCCCTCAATACTAAAATGGAGTGCATGGGAGTTAGCCTGTGATAAGAAAGACAATTCTGACTACAATGAGAATATAGCAGAGTGACTGAGTCCAGGCTTGGAGCCAGACTAGTAGGATTCAAATCCTCACTGTACCCTTTACTAGTTATGTGACCCTGGGCAAGTTATATAATTTCTGTGTTGATTTCCCCATCGGTAAAATGTGGATCATAGTAACATCTACCTCATGGATGAAATGATTAAATGGCAATATGTTTAAAGCCTTTTTGGCTGTGCTTGTCATCCAGGAAATGTTTAATGCTAACTCTTAGTCCTTCCAGCCCTCAATCCTCCCACACTGCAGCAAGGAATATAACTAGCTCTAATTTGATTCTTATTCTCCCTTAGCCATGGTTTGGTAATTCAAATAAGTTAAGAATTTATTTGGGAGAAGTTGATTGTGAAAAAATTTTTGTTTTTCTTAAATTTGGAGAAAGAAAAGAATGGGGTGAATAAAATGGCATTATGCATCAATACTTAGATTAAAAGATTTTAAATAAAATATTGCTTATATAATAAAATGAAAAGTTCAAGAACAGAAGCTAAAAGTCAAGGAAAATATACAAACAAGGGTTTTCTTTAGGGGAACTCAATATTTTTCCTCCCTATCTTTCTCTATTTTCATGGGTATTAATCTCTACTACTGTACTTTAATAACAGAAAAATTATCAAAAAGTCAGTTTTCAAATTCACACAGTACTAAAGCCTTTTTCATTTGTTCTGCCAATAATCATTCATTGATTTAAAAAAAAGAGAGAGATCCTCTGGAATTTGGTCAAACATACTAGCTGATTTAAAATCAAATGGACAAATTACATCAAATATACTTTAGTTGAAATTCACTTTTACCTTTAAGAGTTAGTTGCTAACTTTGGCAGCCTGAATTCCAATTGTATTTTCAACACACCCCCATTCTAACCTGATTGCTTTTATTTATTTATTTTTATAATATAGCATTTTTAAAAATCCTCACTTGAGGATACTTTTTCCATTGATTTTTTTTCCAGATAGAGTGGGAGAGAGGAAGGGAGCAAGAGAGAAAAACATTGATGTGAGAGAGACACATCAATTGGTTGCCTCCTGCACAACCCCTACCGTGGCCAGGGATCAAACCTGCAACCGAGGTACATACTCTTGACCTGAAATTGAACCCAAGGCTCTTCAGTCCACAGGCTGACACTCTAACCACTGAGCTAAACCAGCCAGGGCTAACCGAAGTGCTTTTAAAAAGTGAGTTGTCGGGACACAGTTAAGTATAACCCACCCATTTTAAAACTAGTCTTTTTTTTTTTTTTTAAGGACTTTGTTCCACGTAGTAATTCTCAACTCTGGCTGCACATTAAAATCACTTGGCTAGCCTGGTTGGCGTGGCTGAGTGGTTGAGCATCGACCCATGCTCCAAGAAGTTGTAGATTCAATTCCCGGTCAGGGCACATGCCCAGGTTGTGGGCCTGATCCCCAGTGCGGGGCATGCAGGAGGCAGCCAATCAGTGTTATTTCTCATCAATGTTTCTATCTCTCTCTCCCTCTCCCTTCCTCTCTCTCTAAAATCAATAAAGAAAAATTATTTTTAAAAAATCACCTGGTTTCTTAGATACCTGCCGAGACCCCATCCAGTAGTAATGAAAGTCTGATTTCATTGTTCTAGGCAAGTTGTTAAAGCTTTCCATGTGATTCTACTATATACCCAGGATTGCAAAACCCCAAGCTTAGGTCACATTACTTTTTATTTTCTGCATCTTCAGGCTAATTACAGAACTAATATATTCTGAGAGGAGTTAATATAGTTTTCTGATAAAAAGAACAATTGGTCTCTTGTAGTTAGTTCACAGATAAAGTAGAGAACTATAAAAAAAAAGCGTCGAACATAGTACCTTGTAAACATTTCTGTATTTCACAGGCTTCTTTCTGGCACGGATCCTTCTGCAGCATGTCCAGAAAACTAAAATAAGAAAAATGATTTTTATTTTGTTTTTTATTTATAAAGACTTTAAAGCCCTCTAGAAGGGATTTTCTTCAGAGACAAGACAATTGCCTTCCAACTGCTGGAAGACAATTACACTGAAAAATACTCTTCCCATTCATAGGATGAATCAACTGTATTTTTATAATATCCATTTCATTTGATTCGGAAGATATAAGTAGCTTTACATGGAAATAAAAACCCTTGAATTCAATCAATTCATCCTGAATACTGTAAACCAATGTTGGGCTAGAGGAGCCGACGCCGCAGCCTGAAGGGCCTGCCCACTGCCCAGCTCTATCATTCACAAAACCACCCCTGGTAAATGATCAAGCTCCTTGAGCCTTTTCTCTTATTATTTGTGTGTAAACTGAGGATCATACCTACCTCAAAGCATTGAAGAAAGAATTAAATGTGATAAAAGTATACAAAGTGCATAGAAGAGTGCCTGGAAGGCAGTAAGGGCTTGCTACATGGTAGCTATTGTTCCCAAGATTTTTAAGAAGTAAAACTAAGGTTTTTAATGTATATACACTGTTATAACTCAGGAAATTATCAGGTAGTAAATGCTTTCCTAGGAATCAGCAATATTTGGCCCTGAGAAAGGTGCTAGTTAAGCAGCTGAAATGTTTTTTTGAAACTTACAGAAAAGACTTAAAATATCTGTAACAGATCAGCAACTTCTAATAATTTGATGACACAATTTCAGAAAGAAAAAAGGCTCAGGAGCCTTTGTAGCTAATTTCATTAGTGCAAATAACCTCCTTTTCCCCCTAGAGCTCCCTAAGTTTTCAGTAGGTCCAAGTTAGGTCAGTACTGGGATGGGAAACACTGGAGCAAAATCTAGGATATTTACAGAATGGGAGAAGGAAAGGCAGGTGAATTGCTGCAGGGCAAATAAACGACCAATAGATGTTGATGCTGCTAGGAGTTGCTCTCTTCTCTCTAAATCAGTACCAAGTCCTTGGTGATCAGAGCATCTGTTCTGTAGCAGGTGCTGACTTTTGTGGGATTCATCAGATCCCAGTTCCAGCTGATGATGTCCATTAAAGGTTCTATGGCAACTTCCAAAGGAGTCAATTTCAAATTACGTATCCTGACTAAATGCTTTTGTTGACTGGCTTTCTGCCTGTGTAACCCTCTCTCTGCAGTTCCACTTGCGGTGTTCTTCATGACCCTTCCTAAACTTCTGTGTTCTTGAGCAGTTTTTCAACCCACTCCCTCCCCTAGGCCCACAGGTGGGTGCACTGCAGTGGTGGATGAAGTGATTGCCATATACTGAACAGAACAGAGGAGCATATCTTCCTAGAATCCCAGCACCTGGAAAAAAATAAATCATTAAAATCACCACAACCGAACAGAATGAAAAAGAAGAAAGAGAGACAGTGGAGAAACAAAAATACATACCAGGTTAATCATCAGGCAAAAGCTTAAGCAACAGCTCCTGTACTCCCCTGACCTGTCAGGAAAAAAAAAGTTTATAGAGTACTGTGTTATAAGAGTCCCAATATAATGGAAAATGATTAAGCAACATATGTACCATTAAATGATGCTGGATCTGCCACAAGCGAGAGTTGTTATCCATGTAGCGCTCCTCAGGGTAGAGTTGCCACATGAGAGGTAGCTGGGAGGTAAGAAGGTGACTCGGCCTAGCCGCGTCACCTAAGGGAACCTGAACTTGCTGGACTCGTGCCCTTAGGAAACTCGTCCCCTAATGGAAAGAAATGATCAAAAATAAAACCAGACTTCAGGATATTGTGACTAGTTAGAAACTAAGTTGCTTGAAAGGAAAATAAAGAAATAAGCAAAATGTAAACAGTTACCTGTTCCACGACGGCCACCCATGTGCGCTGGTATTCGTCGCGGTAGATACCCTCTTGGTGAACCCAGAGGCGATCGGGTGGAGCCCCCACATCCTCTCCTGCCATTCTGGGCTTTGAGTTCCAATTCTAGCCCTGCTTTTCTCCACCTAAGCCTGCAGCACCCGCGCACAGGACACAGGTGTGACTTTTTGGGTTTGAATAAACTCACCAGTGAGCAAGGTGACCTGGTACTAGCAACCACCAACCAGAACCAAACCTCATATATGTCTACTTGCACAGCCTAAAGGGAACCAAGGCCACTTGAAGCTCCCTGCAAGACACTGAAGTGACACTCAGGCAGAGCCTCAGGTTGACTACAAAGCACTTGAGAATTCAATTAGGTAAGGAGTTCTGTAGCTTTACAGGAAGCTGGGCAGTGGTCTCAAGTTTGCATTCACAAAGCAGTCTGACAAAATATAGTCAGCAACAGAATATGCACAGGTGTACTTATTTCTAAATTAAGATTAAAAGTTTGTTTTAAGAGCAAACAACCTATTTATCAGTTTACTTAGAAAGATATAGCAACTGGGCCTTTCCAAAAGGGGGTTTTCTTATTAGGGAAAATAAGGTAGCTTCATGGAATTTCTGAGCAGTAAGAGGCTTTGGGGATCATGGTGGTTTGGAGCTGAGTGAGAGAAAATGATAGTTACCCACATAGGTCCTTATTTCATTTTAGTAATGCTTCAGTATGTCACAGGAGCCTATTTTACTATACAGGTGTGGGTTTAAATTGTTTCCCAAGTCAGAAGCACAGAAAAGTCCCTCTGCCCTTTCAGAGGTATAAAGGAAGCCCACTTCCTGGGCAAATTCTGCATGAGGCAGACTGGGTTCTAAACCCATAAAGATCCTCTGCCAGGCCCTGTGTCTCATTTCAGGGCCTCACAATAACTTGACCTGCATTTTGTATGGCATGGTTTTCACTGTGTTTCTATTTTTGGCAGAGCACAAATAGAGCACTGGGGCTCTACCCCACAAAACAAAGGCCTCCTATTCCCATTAGGTGGGAAAGAACTGCAGCACAGCTTGGGAAGTTGTTAAACCCTCAAGTAAAGCTGTCAAGAGCAAATAGATGCCAGAACACAGCATGATGCAGCCCAGGACAAAGTTAGCCAGAAAGAATTAATTGAGCTAAACAAAGCCCTTTTTTTCTAGGACAATTTGAATCTGGTTTTTTTCCTCCCTTAAACACTGTTAGTTTATCCTTCCTTAAAAGGAAAGTAGAAAATATCTTTTATGGATTTAAAAATGGTCTAATTTTAGTGAATAATTTAAGAACATCACAGTTGCTTTGCCCATTGTACTCTGACTCTGAGCCCATTTTAAGCTCCTGTCTTATAGGGCTCTCTCATTTCAAATTTCCTGTCTTACATGGCTCCCTCATTTTAAATTCACCTAAAGTGAAACCTCTTCTTTTTAACCAAATTCTGATTTCTCTCAATGGCAACACTACCCCTCCTGATCCTGCAGAAACTTACTAGTTATCCTCTTCTTCTGCTTCAGTCGCTACATCCTATGTCACTAATTCCAGGAAGCACCACTACCACTGTATTTGAGATAAAGTTTTTCCAAAACACCAGGCTCATCTTTAACTCCATATTCTCAATCTTGCTTTCCACTGGTCTAAAATGCCTCCTCAGGACTCTCTACCTCAGTACTATCATGGCAGAGTGCAGTGCCTGCCTTCTCTATGAAAACTTATTGCCTCTCTATGACTAGTACAGCATTTATGTCTAAACTAAAGCTCATATTTTGGCTTCTAATTATAAATTTTCTTGAATATTTGCTCTGCTTATTTCACAAGTCCTGACTCTCCCTAAATACAGTACTATAAGCTCTTCAGTAGCAGGAATGATCCAGTACTGGGCACCCCAAGTCTCAAATACTAGTCAAATAATATTCCTGTGAGTGGTGGATCTATATAGTAGGGGAAACAGATTAAGGCCATGTATACTTACTTAGGTAGAGACTGATTCTCTACGTGTTTTATATAGCATATATATATATATTTTTTCAAAGCCATTTTTCCACATTTAGCAGATACAATTGTTCTGCCTCTCGTCCTCACCAGGGCTTTGGAAAGGAGTGATACAAACAAAAACCTAGTAAATGCTAATGTCAAAATAAAATATATTAAAGTCTGGATTTCAAGTACAAAAGAAATAAGTGTGGCTACTTATTTTTTAAGTAGAAACCAAGTGTTATGGGTTTCAGGACCATCTCAACTTCACAGACAGGTCCTAGCAACAACCAACATTATTTACATTTAAATTTGTTTTGAATGAAAAGCAAAATTTTACTGGTTACACTGACATGAAAAGGAAATAATTATAGTGGAATAGATGGCAAGCAAATTGGAGATGATGGTCTCAGTTACTATGGATCACTATAAAGAGGCCTATGAACCATTACAAAATATTCTCAGAAAAAAGGCAGCATTATGTGATGTGCTGCTGTGACCCTAAGGCCAATATGCTGGGCATCAGCAGGATGAGCCTGGGAACAGATCCCAGCACATGACTCTGGAGTTGTGCATGCTACCACTCAGAGATAGCACAGAGGCCCAGTAAAAGCAACTGCAATAATCAAGGGACTGAGAAGCTATCATGTGAACATGAAACAACATTCTCAGGAGAGACACGCAAAGCAAAGGCTCAGTGAGAGGGATTAAGATCAAAGCCCACAAAATCACAGGTGTATGACTAGGACACAATTTGCCTACATGTGATTCTTGGAACACTTGTCCCTAACTTTTTCCTTGGTCAAATAAGTTTGGGAATCTTATAGCATCATAAAGCACATTAACACAGTGAAAGCTCTGGCAAGTTATGTAGTAAATAAACTTTATTTTGTTTAACATTTCCCAAATTTATTTGACTAGAGAGCATTTCTCTGCATATAACACTTGCTCACAAAATTCAGGACCCCCTGAACTATGATGAATCCCTTAAAACCTCAAGATAAACTTAGGTACAGGTGCAATACAATACACAGAGCATAAACTTGTTCCACTCAACTCAAGGAATACTACCAGCTGCAAATTCAAATGGATTAACAAAGTGTTTCTATAACTTCATCATCCACAAAGGCACTAAAAGAGATAGTCCCCATGTGGGTCACCTTGATGCCACAGTCAGAGACCACATTGGCCTAGATAGAGTATTTATTAGTAAGTCATTTTGTTTTAAATGGATGATATACAACATGGAAGTCTTCCTTAGGTAGTAATCTAAGTAAAACCATTATTTTTTTCTTCTCAGAATAAATTATTTTTTGTCTTTTTTTTTTTTTTTTTTTTTCCCTTTTGGTATGTGCCCCTAGTGGGAACCGAACCCAGGACTCTCCAGTCCGGCAGGCCAGTGCTCCAACCGCTGAGCCAAACCGGCCAGGGCGTTTTCTGTCTTTTTTAAAAAAGATAATTTGCTTTAATTTCCAGGTGTTTTAACACAGTTTTAAACATTAATCGGTTGAATATACTTATTTCATGTGAAGTCAATTGATGAAGTTATCCAATTATAATGGATGAACTTACCAAGAATGTAGACCTCGGAATCAGACTGGCCTATGCATAAATCCTGATTTTGTCACTTACCAGCTTTGTGACCTCAGACAAGTTAATCTTTCTACACCTCAGTTTTCTGATTAGTAAAATGAGAATTAAAGAATATAATGCTCATAAGTCAACAATTATTTAGCACTTCCTATGTGTTTTACATACATTGACACTTTTAACCTTCATAATTACCTGATTTAATGGATACTATTATTTCCCCCACTTAAAGATGAAAGAAGTAGCCCTGGCCGGGTGGCTCAGTTGCTTGGAGTGTCATCTGGTACACCAAAAGGTTTTGATTCCTGGTCAGGGCACATACTCAGGTAGGGGCCCGTTTGGGAAGCGACCAAATCCATGTTTCTCTCTCACATCGATGTTTTTCTCTCTCTCTCAAATCAATAAAAATATATTCTTGGGTGAAGATTATTTTTTAAAAAGATGAAGAAAGTAAGGCACAGAGAAGTTAGGTAACTTGCTTGAGGTCACACTGCTAAGAGGTTGCAGAGCCTGATTCCAATTGGGGCAGCTAACATATATATACAAAGTATATATATGGGTAGATCGTCTAGCACATAAGCTTGCCATACATGTTAATCATTTTTTCTTCTCCAATGAAACGTTTAGGGCTATAATATGCAGCCCTGAGCATTATAAAAGTTAGAGAATGTCATTCTAGATTATGAGATTAACATCAACAACAAAGGTGTTTTTCCTCCTGAAGGTGTCTAAAGACAATTTATAAACTCAAAATATCCTATCACTAAACATAATAACAGCCATCCTTGCCCCACCAGGGCAGAGCATACTAGTCAAGAATAGTAATTGAAAATAACATATGGTGCAAAATCGAAACAGAAAATTTAGGTGGGTCCAATGTAATTGCACACTTGAAATTTCTCCCAAGCTTCTATCATTATCAAAATCAATCATGGAATGTGGTCCTTATGCATTAGGTAAAAATGGAGGTTGCTAGCATACATATCACAAATAGCTCTACCGGATGAGGGCCCTATCTGTGGGGAGACTTGGGTTGGAACTGACTTGGGAGAAAAGAGCAAAGCATCAACACCTCTTCAGGTAGCACCTTGGGAATGTTCCCTTTCCAGTACTGCCATGTCTACCTGGCTTCAAACTACACAAGGAATAAGAAAACGAGATCAAAGCAAACATAAACATTGATGGGCTGTGGAGGCGGCACGGCATATACTTGTCTTTGGTTTTGAATCATTTCTAAAATCCACTGCAATTCCTAACCTTGGGAGTTGAAAGATCTGTACTTTCAACCCACGGCATGTTTGGCATACGTCAAAATTACTTTAATCTATAATTTCACCATGTCTGATAGCATCAAGACAAGGAGAGGTGAGGGAACATGTATAGTGGATAACTACTGTGATACTTTCGACCTTGAATAAAAACTGAAGTCCCCCATTCCCCTCCCTGTAACAAACAGATACTTAAAAGCCTTTGTAGAAAGTAGCAGCAGCCAAGCTTGAGTGATACTTTTTCAGACACAGTATAGCACTGTTTCTGCAAGAGGTTACTCACATGAATATAATGTTTCTTGGGCTAATTAATCCGCCTCGAAATCAGCGAGGCTAAAACTTCCAGGTCCCCCACCTCGGGCCAGTCAAACCGGGATCAGGACGTGAGCCCAGGGCGAGCCGAGGGGCATCTGGGGCCGAGGTCACCCGAACCGAAGTTTCGAGGCAAGGGCCGACAACCGGAAGTGGTCCAGGGAGAGTGGTACAAAATTCAGGGACCGTAACTTGGAAACAAAACAAAATAAAACCTTAACTATCTTAGGACCAAATTTCGAGAGAGCGTCCCACTGGCTCAAGAGGCTGGTGCGTGCGGCGATGCTGCCTCAGGGCTGTCCCCAGAGCGTGTAGGCCGCGTAAGCGGGCGGGCAAAATGGGCGCCGGCGCTCGGGAGGCGCCTGCCCCGCCGCCCGGGCGCCGCTCACAGAACACGTCCGCCTGCGGCCCGAGAGCACCGCCTCCCAGCCACCCCCGCCGTCCCGCCGCCCGGCCTGAACCCCGTCCACGGCCGGCCACCGCCCTCCGCCCCGACGACCACGCCTGCCCCAACCGGCGCGGGCGTTTCCCAGGTGCCGCCGGGCCGCCCCGCCCCCGCCCCGCCCCCGCCCCGCCCCCGCCCCATCCCAAGCTCCGCCTCCACGCTCTCGCCTAGCTCGCGCCCCGCCCGCGCTCCCCAAGCCCCGCCTCCGCGGAACCCGCTTGCTGGAGCTCTGGGTTGGTTAGGCCTAAGTGGGCCCGAGGCGGACGTGAGCAGGGTCGGACCAAGATGGCGGTGCAGGTGGTTCAGGGGGTGCAGGCGGTTCATCTCGAGTCGGATGCTTTCCTAGTTTGTCTCAACCACGCTCTGAGCACAGAGAAGGAGGAGGTGATGGGACTGTGTATAGGAGAGGTGAGTAGGTCAGGGAGTTAGCCTGGCCGGAAACCTGATGAGCAGTCCCAGCGTGTCCTTGGGGTCGGTGTTAGCAGCGCCCAGGGCTGCGGAGGCCACAGGCACCCGTGACTTAGATCCTTGTACAGGTCCTTTGGATGGTCCTGCCCCGGGGGTCCTGTCCGGTATCCTCTGGTTGCTTGACGCTTGTTGAACCTCCTGTCTCCCCCAGCATTCCGCATAAGCCTGGGGATGGAGGAGGGCTTTTTTTCTCTAGTAATCTCTGGCCTCTTCTTTATCATCCCATTGCCCAGAATCGCAAGTCAGACCAGAAAGACAGTACAGCAGAGTAGGACATCAGTGTATTAAGAAGCTATTGATTACTATTAGGGCCTGAATTCTTCCCTCTAGGTAGGATGCATTTTAATTGTATCAAAGAACCTAAGAGAAGAGAGGCTTTCAAAGACACAAGTTTCTGCAGCGTAAAGTGTTGCAGAGGGACGAAAGAGGAACAGAGCTCAGTTTACAATCCGAAGTAAAAATTCTCCAGTTATTCATGCCTGTGTGCAGGACCACATGACCTGATTTTCGTATAATCTGCATTCATGTACATCAAATAAGTGTAATGTGATCAATAATGTTTTCTCCTCTTTCCCACTCTAGTTGAATGATGACACAAGGTAAGACAATATTTGATTACTCATATCTTTTGGTCTATATGTCATTATTAACTCAGAATTATGACAAGCTTGGCATAATTGTGTACAGGTTGTATTTTAAGTTACCATTATCAGTCTGCAACTCCGTCAATGATACACTTTGAATAATGTCTCAACTCTGAAGGTTTCCACCTTACTTCCTAGTAGGAGGATTTTCAGTTGAGATATGTATGATCTTGGGTAAAAAATGTGGTTGAGGAAAACAAGATCATGAGTGAACATGTGAAAGCTCTTACAGACAGAATTTTGTTGATTGACATGGTGCTATTATTTTCCATTTTCTCTGTTGATATGTTTTTTGTTCTTTCTCCCCTAGAATGACAATGAGATACTGGTAATTTTCTTTGTGGCAGATAATGTGTATATTGAGATATTTCCCACTGTTGACCTATTCCTCCATCTAAATTGGCTCTTCCATCTCCATTGCTTTCTGCCTCCCTGTGGTGAGCCCTACAGTGATCTCTCAGATCCCCAGTAGTTTGGATGCTTGAGGTTGTAAAAGCTTTGAGTTATTTTAATTTAAAATTCAAAGCATAGCAGAATGTGTACTCTCAAACCCACCTCTTTAATATTGAGGATTATAGGAGTTTAGCTTTGCCCATGAAAACTTTATGCACTCAGCCACATATGCATGTGTGCCAGACTGCTTCTAATAGATGTAAGAGCACAGCTTTAGCTTCAGTTTACTTTCCCTCCTTTTCCTTTGTCTCTGCTAAAGGTTTTATTATTCCCCTTTTTTCTAATTTATCCTCAAAAGGAGTGACTCCAAATTTACATATACTGGAACTGAAATGCGCACAGTTGCTGAAAAGGTACGTGTGCCTAAATTTTACATGATGGAAACTTGCATTTGGGGAGGGATTTCTGTGCTCTGTTTGATGAACTCAGCCAGGGATAAATCCTTTTTGTGTAGAGCCACATTTGTGGCTGGGTGATGTGTTCTCTCTAGTAAAATCTACTCACTAGGAATGGGACCTAATTTTCTGTTCTTTGTAGCAAATTATTACTACTTGATCAAGATGAGTAATCACTGTCAGCTCTCCTCCTTGCTGACATCTGCCTGTTTTCTGGCTAGTTCACGCCACTGTTATTTTTTTATCTTGAGTACCAATATCTACTCAGGCAACCCTTCTCTCCTTGCAGGCAAACTGCCCAAAGCTCATAGTCCTTAGTCTACCTTGACTTTATCTTTTCTGGTATGTTCTAGCCGTATGGTCTAGTATAATAGACCTAATGTCAACCTAATCATTGTATAGGAACAGTTATTTTTCCTTCAATATTGTGTAGATCAGTGTTTTTGTAAAAGATAATAAAAATAAATTATATCCTCTCCTCCTGCCAAGCAGATGATGGAAGTGATAAAAGCTATAGGGCAACTATCCCATCTACTTATTATGCCTATATACAAACCATATCATGTTAACAACTTTGCCTCCTTCCCATATGAAGGAAAGAATTCCACTTCCTATCCAGAGCTGCAGCTTCTTCAAAGACCTTGATTATAAAATATCCTCTTTCTTCTGCATCTTCAACCTTTTCCTATCATCTGGCACTTTTCCCTTAGGATACTAACGTGCTTAAATTACTCTCATTTTCAGAAAGGAAAGAAAAAGTAACTTCTCAACCCTGTATCTTTCCTTAATAGCCAGACTTTATTTACCTTCTACATTGAAATCTGGTTTCCAAGTCTTCCTCTCTAGCCACCACCTCACTGCTATATCAGTGGACTATTTCTTGGTGCTTATCTTAATCTTTCAATTCAGAACTCTCATGAGGTTTTTTGTTTTGTTTTGTTTTATTTTTGCCATATCTCCTTATTCCTTCCCCTTCCCTGATCCTTTTTAGACTCTTCCTCCCCTGCTTATGCATTAAATATTCTCCAAGTTTCTGCCTTGGTTTCCTTCTCTTCCCAGAATGTCTTAGGCAACAATACCTCTCCCGCGGCTCTAGCTGCAACAAACATTGCGTTTAGAGAGATCTGTCTTCAGATCTTTTCTCTGATGCTTACTGTGTGACTTTGGGTATGTTATTTAACATCTGTGAGTTTTGTATTCTTTATCTGTAAAACGGGGATAATGACAGTCACTAACCTCATATAGTTGTTGGGAGAGTTGGATTTGGGTAATGTAAGTAAAACCCTCATTTGTAAAATGGGTATAACAATACTACTCATCTCACTGGGTCATTGGGAGGGTTAACTTAATACATTAAAAGCACATCTACAAGTCTGACACATGGCAGGTAGCCAATAAATATTGGTCATTCTGACTGTTGTTGTTAATACCCAGTAAATGCTAGTTAGTATAAATTATTCCAAGCTCTAGAATGTCATACTCAACTGCCTAGTGGACATCCCGAGTTTAGCTAGACACAGGCATCTTAAAGTAACATGTTCAAAACTGAACCTTTTCTATTCTTCAAACGCTCTAACATTCCACCTGCCACAGTAAGCCTGGCTGCAACTTGGAATCACCCAGTAATCTTTACAAAATCTTGATGCTGGTCTAGGGTGAGACGTAGGCAGCAGAATTTTGAAAAGCTATCCAGGTGATTCTTATGTGCAGCCAAGTTTGGGAACCACTGCCTGCCATTGAGAACCATTAACCTAAATAAATTGCTTTCATATTTGTTTCCAATGCTTCATCCCAACTACTGCTCTTTATTTGAGGACCTCATCACTTCTTTCCTCGACTAGTGTGCTAGCTTCTCCACTGGTCTCCTTGCCTCAAGTTTCTTTTGCCTCTAGTCCTTTCTTACTGCTTAGGATGTGATCTTTTGAGAACATTAGTCTGATACACCTCTGCTTAAAATTCAATGGGTTCCCCATTACCTTAGGATGAAGTCTCATTAGTGAAGCATTCAGGGTCCATCATGATCTCATTTCTGTTTATCTCCTTACATTTCTTTACATGGATCCAAGTTCTAACCATGGTAAATTATGTAAATTTCCACATTATGTTTTGCTGTTTCACTCCTTGTATTTGCTGGGTGTCGTGCATGAACTGCTTCCCTTTTCTCTGCTTGGTTAACAACTTATTCTTGGTAGTTCAGCCACTTGCCTCAAGTAACCTGCCCTGACCTGTAGTCTAAGTTAGATAAACTCCTTTGTACTATACTAGCTCCTTAAGCATATCTACTACAGTGCTTATATGTTGTCGTGGAGTTGTTTATCTGTCTCTCTTCCTGGATGTCACCACTGTATCCTGTTTATCATTGTATACTTAGGCCATCGTATAATGCCTCCCATATAGGATATACTCAGTAAATACATATTGTATGAATGAATGAATGTACATCCTCTACAATACGCAATTAGTGTTACCTGCCTATTACCCATGGAAAGCCATGCGGGGGGTGCAAACTTTCTGGAAGGGCCAGATGGTAAATATTTTTAATACTGTGTGCCATGCAGTCTCTGTTGCAGTTACTCAACTCTGCCATTGTAGCCCAAAAGCAGCTACATTACATAAATGAATGGATCTGGTCAGATTTGGCCTGAAGGAACCCAAGCAGACCATAGTTTGCCAACCCTTGATCTGTACCAAGACACACAGCAAAAGGAACCAGTTGTTGGTACCTTAATTCCAAGACTGAAAAGGTATAGGGGCCTATCTAGCTAAGCTGGAATATCTTACTTCTTTTTTTTTTTTTGTGGTACGTGCCCCCAACAGGAACCAAACCTGGTACTCTCTGGTCTGCAGGTCGATACTCCAACCACTGAGCTAAATGGCCAAGGCGGAATATCTTACTTCTTATGTAACTATGACCATAACAGTCTTCCTCAGTCCCTTCAGCTACCTGTGGCTTTCAGGGACATCTGTCAGTCCTCTTTTGGCCTTTATTTATGCTTGTTTTACATGTTTTTCATCTATTCCTGGGCTGGTCTTGCCATCCTATCCTGAACTTCTTTTGCTCACTCCTCTTAAGACACTGAAACCTTCTCTGACTAGAGACAGAATATTTACTCTTGACATCAACTTCTACTAAAATACATTTCCAATCTTTTTTTAAATATAAATATATATATTTTTCTTTATTGATGTTAGAGAGAGAGGAAGAGATAGAAACATCGATGAGAGAGAACATCTATTGGCCGCCTCCTGCATGCCTCCCACTGGAGATTGGGCCCACAACTTGGGCAGGTGCCATGACGAGGAATCGAACCAGCGACCTCTTGGTGCATGGGTTGAACACTCAACCGGAGAGCCACACTGGCAGGCCATTTCCAATCTTAATGACATAATTTTATTTTTTGAGAGTCTATTCCCTTATCTTAAATTCTATGTTAATTTGTACCATCCAAATAAATATTAAAAACTTTGTGTGTTCAGGGACCTTCTCTTTTTAGTTAGTGTTGGCATGGCATATCTTTTTTCATTCTTTTATTTTTAGCCTTTCTGTGTACTAATATTTAAAGTGTGTCTCTAATTAGCAACATATAGTTTTGATAATCCAGTCTGATAATCTTTTTAATTGGAGTATTTAGTCCAATTACATTTATTATAATTATTGGTATATGTGGGTTATTGCTGCCATCTTTTTGCTTTCTACTTGACCTACTTCTTTTTTTTTTTTTTAACCCTCATCTGAGGATATTTTACCATTTATTTTCAGATAGAGTGGGAGTGAGGGAGAGAGAGAGACAGACAGACATCGATGTGAAAGAGACACATCGACTAGCTGCCTCCCGCATGACTCCAGCCAGGGCTGAGGACTGAACTGCAACTGAGGTACATGCTCTTGACCGGAGTCGAACCCACAACTTTTTGGGCTGTGGGCCGATGCTCTAACTGCTGAGCCAAACCAGCCAGGTGTTGACCCAATTCTTTGCATTGTGTTTTTCTCTCTGTTCTTGCCTTCTTTTGGACTCATCAGCTATGTTTTATTATTCCACTTTGATCCTCCATTAATTAGTTATAACCTTCTTTTCATTTTAGTGGTTATCTTATATATTATAATATACATCCTTGATTTGTTAATCTAATACAAATGACTGCTTTTTTTTACCATTTCCTTGATAATACTAGAACCTAAGAACACTTTAATTTCATTTACACCCTCCCACATTTTGGATTATTGTTGTCATGCATTTTAATTCTATGATTATTAATTTTTCTTTATTGATTTTAGAGAGAGGAAGGGAGAGGGAGAGAGAGATAGGAATGCCAATGAGAGAGAACATTAATTGGCCCACCGCCTGCATGCCCCCCACTGGGGATTGGGCCCACAACCTGGGCATGTGCCCTGACCAGGAATTGAACCAGTGACCTCTTAGGGCATGGGTTGATGCTCAACCAGTGAGCCACTTAAGGCATGGGTCTGTATTTTGCCTTCATTTCTGAAGGTTCTATTCTTTGAATATAGAATTATCAGTTGGCAGATGTTTTCTTTTTGTACTCTAACATTTTACCCTATTCGCTTTAGACTTTGTTTCTGTTGAAAAGTCAGCTCTTTTTTCTTTTTTTAAAATTAAATTTATTGGGGTGACATTGGTTAATACAATTATATCGTTTCAAGAGTACATTTCTATGCTACATTGTTTGTATATTGCATTGTGTTCCCACCACCCAAAGTCAAGTCTCCCTCCATCACCATATTTTTGACCCTCTAAACCCTTTACTACCCCCTAATCCCCTTCTCTCCGGTAACCATAATGCTATTGTTGGTATCTATAAGTTTTTGTTTGTTTCCTTGTTTGTTCATTTGTTACTTATTTCTTTCTTAATTTTTTTTATGTTTTTATTGATTTTTTAGAGAGAAAGGAAGGGAGAGATAGATAGAAACATTGATGTGAAAGAGAGACATCAATTGGCTGCTTCCTGCACTCCCCCTACTGGGGATCAAGCCCACAACCCCAGGCATGTGACCTGCTTTCAGTTTTATATCCCACATATGAGTGAAATCATATGGTTCTTGACTTTTTCTGACTTATTTTGTTTAGCATGATATTCTCAAGGTCTATCCATGTTGTCACAAATGACAGTATTTCATCTTTTCTTATGGCTGAGTAGTATTCTATTGTCTATATGTACGATATGTTTATCCAATCATCTGTTGAGGGACATTTTTTTGTTTGTTTGTTTTTTTGGTATGTGCCCCTGGTGGGAACCGAACCCGGGACTCTCTGGTCCGCAGGCTGATGCTCCAACTGCTGAGCCAAACTGCCAGGGCTATTGAGGATCACTTTGGTTGTTTGCATGTCTTGGCCACCACGAATAATGCTGCAATGAACATAGGGGTGCATATATCTTGGCAAATAAATGTTTTATGATTTTTGGGGTAGATATCTGGGAGAGGGGTTGCTGGGTCATATGGTAGCTCTATTCTTAATTTTTGGAGGAACCTCCATACTGTTTTCCATAGTGGCTGTACCAGTCTGTATTCCCATCAGCAGTGAATATGGGTTCCTTTTTCTTTTTTTTAAAAAAAATTTTAAATATGTTTTTATTGATTTCTTTTAGAGAGAGAGGAAGGGAGAGAGAGATAGAAACATGGATGCACATTGATCAGCTGCCTCCTGCATGGCCCCTACAGGGGATACAGCCTGTAACCCGGGCATATGTCCTGACTGGCAATCGAACTGGGACCTCTCAGTCCATGGGATGATGCTCAATCCACCGAGTCACACTGGCTGGGCATGGGTTCCTTTTTCTTCACAACCTCTTTAGCACTTGTTACTACTTGTCTTGTTGATAATAGCCATTCTAAGAGGTGTGAGGTGATACAATGGAGAAAAGAAATCCTCTTCAATAAACGGTGCTGGGAAAATTGGAAAGCCACATACAAAAGAATGAAACTAAACTACTGTTTGTCCCAATATACAAAAATAAACACAAAATGGATCAAAGATCTGAAACAATAAATTATGTAGAAGAAAAGAGAGGTACTAAACTTATGGACTTTGGTCTTAGCGAGGATTTTATGAATTTGACCTCAAAGGCAAGGGAAGTAAAAGCAAAAATAAATGAATGGGACTATATCAAACTAAAAAGCTTCTGCACAGTGAAAAAACCACCAACAAAACAAAAAAGCAACCAACCAAATGGCAGAAGATATTTGTAAACAATAGCTCTGACAAGGGGTTAATATCCAAAATATGTAAAGAAGTCATCCAGCTTAACACCAAAAAAAATAATAATAATTTGCAGTAAAAAATGGGCAGAGGACCTGAACAGATACTTTTCACAATAAGACATACAGATGGCCAACAGAAACAAGAAAAGGTGCTCAACTTCACTAGCTATTAAGGAATTGCAAATCAAAACTACAATGAAAAGTCAGCTCTTTGTCTTGTTGCTCCTTGGAAGGTCAAGAGTCTTTCTGTCTCTGCTTTTGATTTTCTGTACTGTGTACTCTGTGCCTGCCAGACACATTACAATCAGTGGGGTAAAACCATAACTAAAACATGTTCCTTGCCCTTAGGATCTTAAATTCTAGTGGAGGAGGAAATTATGTCAACAGAGAGAACACAATGTGATATAAGCTCTAGCAAAGATGTGTATTTGTATTATTAAAAAACGTCATATGGTAAGGGAGAATGATTAATTTGTTATAGGATGAGCATTTAAAAGCTCATCAAAGGGAATTTAAATAAAGGCCATGAAAGAGTTCAACAGGTAGAACAAGGCATGAAAGGGGACCACATTTCAAGTTCAATAGCCACATGTGCATAAAAGCTGCTGTATTGCACTGTGTAGGTCTATAGCTTACTCCAAAATTCTCCTTGCAGGTTTTACCCATGTCCCTGCAACATCTGGTGATGCCACACCCATCTTTTCCCCTGAAGCTTTTTAACCATTTCATTAGTCTTGACCTCCTTCCTGGTTCCTCTTATTGTACCCCATCCAAAATGTGGGTACCCCCCTTGATTTAGGCCTGGACCTCTGCACTCAATCTCCACACTATTCCTTGCTTTTATTTACATCCTCTCATCCCAGATCAGCTCATCTGAAAACATACTCATCTTCTTCCTGATCCTGGCTAAACTTAGATCTGCCTCCTGTGTTTCACCATTTCAACCTTGAAATTTTAGAATCACCCTAGACAGTTACATGTCTTCTATCACCCATGATCCATAAGCTACCAAATTTTGTGGATTCTTCCTTCTTAATGAACCTCAAACCTGTTTCTGCCATCCAATTAGTCCAGTACTTTATCATTACTTCATGTCCAGGCTATCTGAAATAATTTCCTTCCATCCAGTTCATCTTGCAGATCATGGCCTGGCATTTGAGGTCCTGCACATTTTTACTTTAACCTTTGTTCTCAGCCTTGCTATCTGCCATTCCATCTCAAGTTTTCTATTTAAATCAGTTGGCCAACTTGTCTCTAAAACATAACACTTGCATCCATTTGATGTCTACAGAAATTCTTATACATACACACCCCCCAGTCAGGAAATACACTCGTCTGCCTTTTCTGTGTAGATTTTTTTTTTAATCTAAGTGACTCCTTTCCTTTGAGCTTCTGTAGCATTATTATTATTTTAGTGTAATTTCATGTGATACTTGCTGCTCAACCAGACTGTTAGCATTGTAAACACTTGAATTTTCAGCAATTCTTTTGTGTGACAGTGTCTTGCACATAGTTATGAGTCAAATGATTATTAGCTGATCATTCAAAAAGTCCTTCCTTGTCTAAATATTAGTTTTAGTATTTTTGTTTTGAAATGTATATGTTGAGGTTGGATGTCTTTTATTTGAAACATTCCTTTATTCATGAGAAAAATGTCAGTTTTCTAAAATGGAATCTTTAACCTGATAATGTAATACAATGCGATTCTATAATTGCAGGGAGAGATATTATTGGAGAGAGACAGAAGTAAATATTTCTGTGGATTTTCCTTTAGGTTGACACCGTCAGAATTGTTCACATTCATTCTGTCATCATCTTGCGACGTTCTGATAAGAGAAAGGATCGAGTGGAAATTTCTCCAGAGCAGCTATCTGCAGCCTCAACAGAGGCGGAGATATCCTTATTGGTTGATAAAAAGCTTTTATGTGCTTTGGGGCTTCTAGGCCAGGTTCTTCTGTTTGCTATCTTAGCTGGCTTCAGGAAATTTCACAGGTTTTCTTCTTGGCGACTCTGTCCCAGTTTTCATATTTACCCCCTAGATCCAATTGTTTGGTTAATCAGAATTTTTGTCCACTTCTTTTGAGTGTCTTTTATTGAAGAATTAGAAATTTCTAATATTCCTGCTCTCAAATGCCAAAAGATCCCAAAGTCAAATCCTCTGACAACGAACTCTATGGGGAGTCCCTTTATCCTCCTCCTCCCACGCCTCTTCAGTCCTCTCTGCCCTCCTTCCCCAATTTTCCTAGTATCATTTACTTTCTAGGCTTTTTACTATTTTGGTCTTTATTGTTTGGAAAGGTTCTCTTTTGAGGATGCCTCTCAAAAAAAAAAATGCGATGCTGAGAACTGAATGCAATATTCCATGTTAAATACAACCAAAGAATGATCAAATGGGACATTTGCTTCCCATGATCTGGACTCCACACTTCAGCTATAGCAAGTTAAGTCTGCATCAGTAATGTTAGTCATTTATTGGTCTTTTGAATTAAGTTAATCTTGTAGTCAATTAAAATAACTTTTAACAAAAAGTAGTACATATGCATAATATAAACTTTAAAAGGAACAAAAAGGTACACAAAATAAGTATTTTTCTCTCTAACTTCTGTGCCACAATTTCCACATGGCCCTTCCCTGGACATAACTAGGGTTATCAGGTTTTCTTGTATCCTTCCAGATGAATTCTATGACTGCAGAAACATGAATATTTTCTTTTTAAGAAGTATTTAACATATACTGCATTTCACAAATGAATGCATTTGTCTGTAGGACCAATTCCGAGAGGTGAAATTGCTGGAGCAAAGGTTATATGTACTTGTAGCTATACTGTTTTACCAATTTACCCTGTATCAATGTGCAAGAGGGCCTGTTTCCCAGCCCACTCACATTGTATGTGATCAAAGTTTTGTTTTTGTGCTACCAGGCCCTGGTAGATTAAAGTTTTTGATTGTTCCCAATCTGTAATTATATCTTATTTCTTGCCATTTTAATTAGCATTTTTATTATGAGTAAATTTGATAAGCTTTTAATTTCTAAGGGTCATTTGTATTTTTCTCTGAATTATCTGGTTGTTTCCTTTGCCCATTTCTCTGTTTATTTGGAAATATTTTTCTTAATTTATAGGCACTCTCTATATAAAGAAAACTAGCCCTTTGTGATAAGGATCATGATTTTTCTCAGCTTTCTCATGGTGTATGTGTTTTTGTCCAAGTTGTTTTTGTACTTTTTAAAAAAATTCTCACCCAAGGATATTTTTCTGTTGATTTTCAGATAGAGTGAGAGGGAGGGAGGGAGGAAGAGGAAGGGAGAGATTGAGAGAGAGAGAGAGAGAGAGAGAGAGAGAGAGAGAGAGAGAGATGTGAGAGAGACACATCGATTGGTTGCTTCCTGTACAAATCCGGCCAGGGCCAGGTACCAAACTGCAACGTGCCCTTGACTGGAATCGAACCCGCTACTCTTTGGTCCATGGGCCATTGCTCTAACCGCTGAGCCAAACCAGCCACGGCTTGGTACTTTTATATAATCAGATGTAGCAATCTGTTTTTACACTCTTCATTTTGAAATAATTATAGACTCATTGGAAGTTGCAGAGATGGTATAGAAAAGCCCCTGTGCCCTTCACCCAGTTTCCCCTGAAGGCTACATTTTACATAATTTATAGTATAATATAGAAACCAGGAGATTGACATTGATACAACATCTGTTGTTCTATGCTATTTTGTCACATGTATAGATATATGTAAGTACCATAGCAGTCAAGATGTAGACCAATTTCATCACCATAACGATCTGCCTCATGCTCCTCCTGTATAATCACACCTACCCCAACCCCTGAAAGCCAGTAATCTGTTCTCTATCTCTATAATGTTGTCATTTCAAGAATGTTTGATAAATGGAATAATTTAGTATGTGACCTTTTAAAATAGGCTTTTTTTCATTCTGCCCCCACCCTCCATTCCTACCCTTTGCACCACTAATCTGTTCTCCATCTCCTCATTAAGGATTGGATTTTCTTGTTTCTCTGCATGCCTGGTAATTTTAGGTCACATGCCACATAAGATTTTCTCTTGGGTGCTAGATATCTCTGTAGTTATTCCTAGATATAATATTTTTTTCTTTATTGATTTTAGAGAGAGAGGAAGGTAGAGGGAGAGAGATGGAAACATAAATGAGAGAGAACATTGATTGGCCACCTCCTTTATGCCCCGCACTGAGGACTGGGCCCACAACCTGGGCATATGCCCTGACCAGGAATTGAACCAGTGACCTCTTGGTGCATGGGTCAGTGCTCAACCACTGAGTTACACTGGCTGGGCTTCCTAGACATAATTTTTAAGCTTTGTGGTAGATGCTGTTAAGATACCTAGAATAGTTAGATCCTTTAGAGTCTTGCTTTGAAGATTTGCTGTGTGGGTCCTTTCAGTGTAGGAGTTATTTATTTTTTCACACTACTGAGGCAAAACCCTTCTGAGTGCCCTGCCCCATGCCTCCGAAATTGTTCTGGCTGGTGGGGACAGCCACTAGTTTCTGTCTTGCTTGAATGCTGAGCATCGTTACATTTTATCCTTTTGGATGTTCCTTTCCCTGGCCTGGTAGTTTCCTCATATGTTTATGCTTATCAATGATCTGTGCAATACTCCAGTGGGACCCTCTGTGAATATTCAGGTTTTTTTTTTTCCCATTGCTATCGTCTCCTCTCCAGTCCTCTACCCTGCCAACTCTAGCTACTGAATTATCTGATCCATCTCCTAAACCCAGAGACCAGCAGAGCTCCACCTCCGTTCCCCTTCCTGCTCTGTGCTCTCAAGGGCTACCTTGTTTGTTTCTCGTTTACTGGCCTTCCTGTTTTATATAATCCGGTTTGTTTACTTGTCTCAGGCAGGAGATAAATCCAGTTTAAATCCTGTTATTCCATTTTAGCCAGAAACAGAAAACCCATTCATTGGTATTTAAATAAACAAACAAAAACAAACTTTGCCAAAATACAATTCCCAGAACACAATTGTATAAAAGATGTTTGTTATTGTGATTATATATTGTAACTTCAAACTAAAACTAATCCATTCTGAAAATGGGAGAGGGATGGCTGACCACATTGTTGCGTGTTAATGTACTGACATGACAATGAGTGTCTGCTAACTACTTATGTAGTGCCAGGCACAATGCTAAATATCTTACTTGGACTACCTCATTTTCTCTTCACTGCTGTGTGAGGTGGACTTCCCCCAGTCTGCAACTGAAGAAATGGGCTTAGAGTAGTTAAGTAATTTCTTTTTTTTTTTTCCATTTTTTTTTTTTGTACAGATAGAGTGGGAGGGAGAGAGAGGAAGAGAGAGAGAGTGAGAGAAACATCGACGTGAAAGGGAAACATCGAGTGGCTGCCACCCGCACGACCAACCAGGGCCGGGGACAAACTGCAACCGAGGTACGTGCCCTTAGCGGGAACTGAACCCGGGTCTCTCCGGACCGCAGGCCGACGCTCTAACCGCTGAGCCAAACCGGCCAGGGCAGTAATTTCTCTTGGTGAATGAAAATAAAAAAATTACTTTAAAAGTATTCTTTCTTAGACTTAGTTGTATAAAAGGGATTATTGTGTTTTAATGTAATTTGCAGGGAAGTGAGTGAGCATTTTGCACTTTAGCAGCAATAATCTCAGTGAGCAGCAACGGAAGGGGACAGCTTCTTATCTCTGAGTTCTCAGAGTTCCTATCTCAAGTTAGAGCCTAAGAATTATGGAAAAATTTCCAGAACAACAGGAAAAGATTCATTTGGGGGATATTTCTAGACAAATGGGGAGACTGAACTGGATTAATTTGGTCTTTGAAACCACCCTAGTTGCTGTTGTTGACATTGGAAAAGGAACATCTTCGTTTTTAAATGGGAAGTCTGGGAAATTATGGCATCAACCTTATTTCATTCTTTTATTGACATTAAATTGTAAATGGTTTTAAACCTCAGGATACTTTCTGAGCCCTTATCAGCATCACAGGTTTTTATTCCCACAAGTTGGAAACACCTTGACAGACACACAGGTTGGCTGAACTAACAGGTCGCCCCATGAGAGTTGTGGGCTGGTATCATTCCCATCCTCATATAACTGTTTGGCCTTCACATGTTGGTAAGTATGGGGTTGCAATGTTTATTGTTCTTAGAAATGAATATAATGTTCCTTTTCCATTACGTGGGCTATGGTTGTTTTAAAGCAAAATTGAACTACGCTTAAACAGATGTCCTTATTTGTCTGCCATGTTTTAAAAGTAATGTTTATGTCATATTGATTGCTTTTATTTCATTTTTTTAAAATCCTCACCTGAGGACATTTATCTTCAGATAAAGTGGGAGGGAGGGAGGGAGGGAGGGTGAGAGAGAGAGAGAGAGAGAGAGAGAGAGAGAAAGAAAGAAAGAGAGAGAGAGAAACATCCATGTGAGAGAGACACATCGATTGGTTGCCTCCCACATGACCCCGACCAGGGCCTGGGACTGTACCACAACCGAGGTACAGGCCCTTGACCAGAATCAAACCTGAGACTCCTTGGTCTGAGGGCTGTCGCTCTAACCACTGAGAAACCGGCCAGGGCTTGATTGCTTTTATTTATTTATTTTTATTTTATTTTGTTATTAATTTTTGTTACAGATGTTTCTCCTTTTCCCCCACTAATTCCCCCCACCCCCTCCCTCCCCGCCCTGTCCCCAGCTTTGTTGTCCATGTCCATTGTTCATGCATACATGCATATAAGTTCTGTGGTTTCTCTCTCCCCCACCACTCCCTCTTCTGGGGATTGTCAGTCTGTACCCCACTTCCATGTCTCTGGGACTACCCCATTTCTCAGACTGTTATGTTCATTATATTCCACAAATAAGTGAGATCATATGATACTTGTCTTTCCCGGTTTGGCTTGTTTCACTTAGGATGATACTTTCCAGGTCCCTCCATGTAGTCTCAAAGGATAAGAGATCTTTCTTTCTTACAGTTGTGTAGTACTCCATCGTGTATATGTACCACAGCTTTTTTATCCATTCGTCTACTGATGGACACTTGGGCTGTTTCCCGATCTTAGCTATTGTAAATAGTGCTGCAACAAACATGGGGGTACATATATTCTTTCTGATTGATGTTTCAGGCTTCTTAGGGTATATTCCTAGAAGTGGGATCACTGGGTCAAATGGAAGTCCAATTTTTAATTTTTTGAGGTAACACCATACTGTTTTCCATAGTGGCTGCACCAGTCTGCATTCCCACCAGCAGTGTACTAGAGTCCCCTTTTCTCCACACCCTCGCCTTGATTGCTTTTAATAGAAATAAAATTTCAGTGCTCAATTATGACTGTTTAGGAGATCAAGATTAACTAAAGCCTTACAGTTGGCTGATATGAAAAAATAAAAAATGTAACTGAAAATCACTGATTGCTGAATACCACTGTCCAACACTCCCATTGGTGTGAAGGGTGAAATTTACAGAACTGATGTTTACAATCTGTGTTTAACACACACTCCATCCTAGCTGTTGGGGCTCTCAACTTACCTTCTAACCCCTCTAATCAGTATAATGTTACAAAAGTATTTTCTCTCTCTCTCTCTTTTTTTTTAAAATCTTGAACCCGTTTCCTGAATTATGGTCATTTTTTTTTGTTTCTACCTGACTCTCCTGAAGTGTAATAACATTCTTGAGCATATAACTATGTGATACTGGTTTATGAATATTTTCTTCTCTACTCCTCAAAGTAACCTGTGAGTTAGAAAATTTCCCTCCATTGTACTGAGGATTAAATAGAGAAGCACAGGGTTAATTAACTAAGTGGCAGAGCTGAGGTATGAACCCAGGTCTGTCTCCCAAGTCTGTGTTCTTTCCACTGTAATGTTCTGTTTCTAGTCATAGGGGCTGGAGTTGATTGCAAGTTCTACGTCCCACTTGTGCTGTGATATGAATGACAAAAAATCCCTAGCAGTGCAGTCTCAGACTATATAATAATTGATGAGTGGTTCTGTATCTAGAGCAGTGATTCTCGGGGTGGGGATGGATACTTACCAGAATCACCCTGGAAAGTTTTTGTAAAATGTATTGCTCTAAATTCATCTTTTCCAACCGGGATGGTAATTTAACAACCTCTAGAAGTGGGTCCTAGGTGGGTATGTTGTGAAAAAGCTCCCCAAGGAATCCCAATGCATAGCCCTAGTTAAATACTGATTTAGAATAAGGGAGATAATGGACTTGCTGTTTCTTGCTGACAGAAACTTACACTTGACCCACTGTAACATAATAGTGATGTGCCTAAGAGAGCCCATATTAACAACAACAAAAAGTATGTATTATCAAAATAGTTTTCTCAATGGAAAAGAAAAAAATTGAAACTAGAACTTGCAGTAACAAGAATAGAGGTGTTTTTAACTTTAATTTTGACATAATTTGAGAGTTAAAGTTGATGAAATAGTACAAAGAATTCCTGAATACTCTTTCCCTAGATTTGCCAAGCGTTAACATTTTGCAACATTTGCTATGTCATTCTCTTTTTGTTATATACATGTATATGTATATGTATGTAGGTGCATCTGAGTACAGTGTTTTTCCTGAAGTATTTGAAAGGAAGTTGTAAGCACTATTCTCCTTTACTCCTAACTACTCTTTGGTGTGAATTTCCTAAACACAAAGATATTCTCTTATAAACCTACAGTGCATTTGTCAAAATTGAGAAACTAATATTGGTATAATACTGTTATTTAAATTATTGACCTTGTTTAGATTCCCCAATTGGCTCACTAATGTTCCAATAAAGGTTGTTTTCATAGCTATACATGTATTCCTGTAAAACCTTAATATCACTGAACAAATTCAGTGTTTGATTATACTTAATTTTTACTCAATAATAACAGCTGTTGTTTTTCTTCCACCATCAACACATTGGCCTCAAATTTTGCCATCAACCAGAAAGAAAGAAATGCCAACCACTAATGAAAGTGGAGTGTATATTCCTGAACAATTAATGGAGCATATATTTATGAACAATTATTGTCACTATGGTAATAAGTTAGAATGGAAAAGATATACAATTTTGTAGTAAGGAAAGAATCTCCCTAAGAACTTAGGGAAAAAACATTATCAATATCTGAAGTGGAAAATCCAAAAAAGTGTTCATAATTCAGAGAGTGATTGAATTTTCCTCTCGGAGGCAGAAGATCCAAGTTGTTACATAAGAACCTGGGGAAGCATTTGCAGTGCAGCAGGAAGAGCAGTTAGGAAAACAAGGATACTACAGAATGTAACTGAAAAAAAAAATCAGCTCTAAATTATGAAATGATTAAGGGGCCAAATGAAAATAATTCAACACAATAGATTTGGAGACTGGAACATTGAGATCTTACCTGGAAACATAATTCTTAACTGGATAAGCAAAAGGAACAAATAACAGACACTGTAATAAAGGCTATGTTCAAAGACACTTCTAAGAGCGTTAATTTTTAAAACTGCAAATAGAAAGTTAATAGAGTTATCATACCACGAGGGCTGGAAACACCAGCTTTGGATTCTATTAGGAAATAGGTCTATGCTAGAATCTCATTTCAGTCACTTACTAGTTGAGAAGACCTTTGAACTTCTCTGTGCCATACTTTCCTCTCTGACAGAAATGGAGAACATATTATTGGTCTCAGAGTTGTTAGGGAGCAATATATGAAATCATGTATATGGCATTTTATTCCATGCTTATTGCAATACTAAAGATAAATATCAAAGCATTTATTTAGAAAACTCTTGAGAGAGAGAGAGAGAGAGAGAGAGAGAGAGAATGAGAACGATTAAATACCTTAAGTTGAAGGACAGACAACATTTGAAGGATTAAATAAAGGACAAATTCATTCCTTCAAGAGTATAAAGTCAGTGTTTTGGCTTTGGGTTAGGGTTTCCAAAAGCAAGGGTGATGTAGGTCAAGCACACAAACTAAGACTTTAAAACTTAATTTTAAAAGAAAATCAGACTTGCAGAAAAATTGCAAGAATAGTATAAAGAACCAGATTCAACAATTGTTAACCTTTTGCCAAATTTGCTTTATCATTTTTTCTCTGTACCTCCCAACACATACACTATTTGAAAGTAACTTATTTCGCCTGGGCCGGTTTGGCTCAGCGGTTAGAGCGTTGGCCTGCGGTCTGGAGAGACCCGGGTTCGGTTCCCGCTAAGGGCATGTACCTCGGTTGCAGTTTGTCCCCGGCCCTGGTTGGGTCGTGTGGGTGGCGACCACTCGATGTGTCCCTTTCACATCGATGTTTCTCTCTCTCTCTCTCTCTCCCCCCCTCCCACTCTATCTGAACAAAATATCGAAAAATGTCCTCCGGTGAGGATAAAAAAAAAAGAAAGTAACTTATTTCTCAAGACCAAGGATGTTCATGTCTATAACGACACTGCAATTATTAAAATCAGGGAATTTGATATTGATATAATCCTATGTAATCTACTGCATGTATTCAAATTTTGCCATTTATCCCAATTTTGTCCTTTATAGCAATTTTTCCTTTCCAGTCCAGGATCCAATCTCAGATCATGCATGGCATTTAGTTTCATGTCATTTTAGTCTCAATCTGGACTTTTTCTCATTCCCAAAGCTCTGAACTCCCCACTTCCTCCTTGACATTCAGCACACTCTTTCTACTTTAACAGAGGAAACAGGAATAATTAGAATGAAAGTTGCTCTTTTTTTTTTTTTTTTTTTTACTCACCTACTTACTACTATGCCTGTATTCTCCTTTTCCTTCTTGTTACAAGAGAGAATGTGTCCTTGCTCTTAGCTAACACCCATCCATCCACTTCTCTATTTTTGTTCCCAAGAACCTTGCACTCTTCATTATGTTTCTCTCTTCTACATCTATATCTCTTTCTGCTGTACTGTATTATACTCATAATTTGTTCCTTCAACAAATAAGTTTGAGTGACTTCTTCTATGTGTCTGGACCTTTTCAAGATGCTGGGGATAAAGCAGTGAAGGAAGGAAATAAGGTCTCTTCTTTCATGGAGCTTTCAAACATGCTCATACCTCACATGTTGAAGAAAACACACAACTTTTCCCAGTCCCACTTCCCCTTCAGGTGCATATTTTCTTTCCTGTCACCTTCATAGCTAAACTCAAAGAG